CTTTCAGATAAACAATGCTAAAATACTTTTTTTTCTCTTTTCATGATTCGTTAAAATAAATCAATTGCTTCAACTTTTGGATGGGGAGTGATTTTGAGAGACATAAAAATAAGATTAAAAAAGTAATAATAATCTTTATATTTGATATAGCACCTTATCACATCTTTGAGATGTCTCAAAGCACTTCACAGAATATACTGTAAAGTGAATTGACTGTATATTTTGTGGGCAAAATGCGGCAGCCAATTGCGCACAGCAGTACCTCACATACAGAGTGGATTAAGTGACCAAGTTATTATTTTTAAAATTGTATTTTTAAGCTCTACTTTTGTGCATTAAAGATGATATTACGTATGTGATACATTGTATTGGAGCAACTGTGTCTGAGTGGTGGATACTTGGTCTGTGCAATGATTCTCGTACCCCCTAATTCCTGAGTGGAGTGGAGTGGAAGCTATACATTTCCTGATGGAGGGCAGAGAAAGCTGGGGGGGTGGCGGAAGAGTCACTCTGGATCACTTTGCCCTTTAACTTGGAAGTGGTGTGTAGTAACAAAGACCCAGTGGATTTGATGTGAATAAAACAGCTCTTTTAAAAAGTAGCATTACTGGAATAGCAATGTTGGTTTGCATAATTATTAAAATACATTGCAAAAAGAAAAGAGGGCTTACATTTTGCTCCATGCTCTAAATTATCTTAAAAATAGTGAATTCTTACTGCACACCCCATTCAGAGGTTTAGAGACCAAAATGACCATTATCTTTATTTTCAAAATAAATCATAATATGAACCACATTGAGCAGCAGGTATAAAGCACAATAGTAATAAAAGCATGAGAAAGTCTGGAATTGGGTCAATTACTCTTTTTAGTCGTAACGTCTCATGATTTGGCTTAAGAGTCTTAACAAAGCTCCTTTCACAGCCGGGTGAATTAAGCTTTTCTAGAACCTTTGCCATTGCCTAGCGTAAGGATTGAATGTGAGAATGTTTGTTCTCTTCAAACAATAGCCTCTGAAAAAATTCCCAACTGTATCATTCAAGTGAAATTAGCACAGCACTCACACGGTGACATCATGGAAGACAGCGTTCAAAAGACAGAAAGCGAATTATTTCAAGTTTGGACTTTCTCAAAGTCATAGAAACTCGTTTTTGGTTAGCTGAGTGTCTGACCTACATAAATCCATCATTACACGTAAGAAAATCCAAACCAAACTACTGAGAGATCCAAATAAACATGGAATGGAATGTGTACTCTCTCCCCAGAGGAACACGGCCTGTTCACCTAATCACAGAAAGTATTTGGCACAGGTTATCAAGAGCCAATGCTTGGCAACTGCAGAATGTGCGTTGGAATACTGCTGCGGTTTAACCAAGCATCAAGGAAAGTAAAACCACTAGAAATACAGATCTCGCTTACCTTTAGCAGATTATTAGACATCAATCTATACAAAGAGATTTTCAATGTTTTCAGTAACCAGCTGTAAAAATATTAATTGGAGTAACATGAGATAAATTGAATTACTATCTCCTACCTCAGAGCAATTCACAAATGAATAATTTTCCTTTTATGGCTAAGGCCCATTTTGCAGTTCATCTCCGAAGCTAAACAGAGTCACAGAGAAAAATATAAGGCAAGTACTTTTTAGCGTTAATTTTGGACTTTAAAGATATGTCGATTATAAGTGGGAAGCAAATGTTGTAAATGACATCTCACACAGAAACTGTTTGCTGTCACTTTCAGCCATAGCATGTCTGATGTCAGTCTTTTCATTGAGTAGTGCATTTTCTGTTAAGCTCATTTCAGAGACNAAAAAAACAGTAGCTACACCCAAATTATTCATGACAGGCGTAACCTTCTAGACTGAACAATGCAGTCCCTGATACACAATATTTTACAAGCTACTCATCATTGAATAGGCAAGATTTTTAACCCACCTAAAATGTTTTTGACCTTTTTTAAAAAAAAATAACTCTAATTTGGAGCGAAAAATAAATTTGGTGTAGATAATAGGCTAGCCAGTGTGATAGAAGGAGCTATGTTAGCTCACAAAAGATTAGACACAGCAAACAGAGAAACAATGACAGAATGGAGATGGAATGAGAACATCTCCATGTCTGATATTGTATTACTTCCAAGCTGGTTAACTTACTTTTTCTTCAGCTCATCAAAGCTGAAAAGCAATTTGCCTGAGGATTTTTGGTGGGTAAACATTTTCAGCCCAGTAATAGGAGATCCAACAATATTTGTAGATTGCTGAGCAGAAGTCGGACATTTGTTGTGTTAAGTCTTAAAACATGTGTTATATTGTTAGAATCATTTGTGTACTCTTTGTGGAGCTGCTTGTGTGGACACTGCAGTTACAGTAACTCTTTGTACTCCTCCTGCACACTTACTTAACCATATACAAGTAGCTGTATTCAGCAGCTATCAGCTGCAGGTGAGATTTTTGATGTTAGAAGAGATTTTACAGAATAGACCTGAAACTTAAAGGCAGTCTATAGCAAATCAGCTGAATTCCTTCACGTCCTTCCCCCACCCTTAATTTCTCTCCACTCCTCTCCAGAAGGTTTTGCTTCAAGCTAGAGTACAGTTACATTGGGTTTGGCCACTGTTGAGTTTCTCACCAAAGTGCCATTCTTCGTGTATCAACTGAGATATTGAATGTCAGCATGCAATTCGAACCAAGGAAATTATAACAGCTCGATACACTTGTTCTGACCCAACATTAAGAGACTCACACTTACCAGCAGATGTCACTGGTTGATTTTTCTATTCACTGCCCTGGGATACCTAGTCTGATCCTCAGTCTGCTGTTGTGGCTGAGATTGGTGAATTTAGCTCATACCAGGAATGAAGCAGGGGACTCTCCTGGACTGTATCCTTCTGGACTATATGATTCAGTGCACTCACTATGCTACGAGGCGAGCCTGATTCTGAAATTTCACATCTCAGTGACATTCCATTTGCATTTATAGCTGGACGTAAATGGCCAGCAGATTGTTTGCGCTAAGTAGTTTCGCTTCTCTCTCTGATTGCACGTGCTTGGAGTTATTAAGAAAATCTGCTAAACTAATTGTTTGCTAGGCTAAATCCCAGAAACCCTCTACATAAGCCCATTATAATGGTGGTGTGGGCAGAATATAAACATACTATATTATGGAGATAGAATCTTTTATAAAATATTGTAATAAGATTCAATACTTTGTTGACAACCAATCTGTTTCCGCTGATAATAGCTGCAAGATGTTAGGGATAAATAATGCTCGAGTGAGAATTTCAAACCAGGTGTTAATATTTTACTGTCACAAATATTTTTTTCGAGTTCATTTGAGAAAATAAATTAATTGTTTTTGACTTTATTCTCACTTGCCTTGAGCTTGATCTAACTGGATGTTCATGGAGTATTGACCACCCACACAGTTGTTGCATTAAACTTGCGATTATGGTGTTTCTTCAGATTTAGAGGATTAAGTTTTAAAGAAATCACACTGATATTAATGCTCTTCAATAATTTGAATTTTTGGAGGGCTGTCTGACTTGAGCTTCAATGTTGTATAAACTCTGATGCAAGAAAATTGTTCTTATGGGAACTCTAAACTACAAATCCAGATATTTTATTGTCATTATATCTTGTTTTAATGATAGAACACTCTTCAGTTCATTCATTTCCCTGTGCTCCCCTTCATTTATGGAACAATCTAGGCTCTGCCACAATTAATATTTTAAAGAAATCTCCAGGACAAGGCTACTGTGATTTGTTCCTGCCAAAAGGTGGATGGCAACGATTCCTGTATCACATGATTTTCTGTTTTGTTGAGTCAGCTCTTGTTTGGCACAATAAACAGAGTGTGAGGTCCATAGATTTTCTTCATTGCAACAATGTCATACATTAACAACCTTACCAAACACAATGCAATGTCCAGTCAAGCAAGCAAAACTCATTATGAGAATAATTTGAAATGTTTTGTACTGTTTGAGGTTGTGTGATATAAGCAACATGTACCATTAAAAGGAAATTGTGAAATTGCACCTATCAGAAGTTTTTATGTATCTGAATTGGTTGAAACATTTAGCTGTTAATCCCATAGTGCATGAGTCTTACAAGCATTCATGCAACACCTAGATTAAGGTTTCTTGGTGGGAGTAAAACCTGAAACTTTTTGGTCCACAAATCCTTACTGTGTCTCGTATGTTTTTCAGTCAACAGCCAGAACACTGGTATCTATGACAACAGTCGAGGACAACGAAATGAGCTGTAAGGGAATTGCTTGCTGTTAAGAAATTGACAGCATAAATTATGTACCCTCAGTTGATAGCTCTTTTTATTTTTTTTCTTCCCCTTCTTCATTTTCTCCTCCTATTTTCTCCCCTTTAGTCCTGTTCTTTGAAAGGTAATGAGTGTCACCTGGGTATAGTTCAATGTGCGCCAGTAGTTCACTGTAGTATCAAATCTGAACATCAGCAACATTTTCTTTGTGAAAGTGCAGTAATAAATTGTGGTATAAGAACCCAATTTGGAACTAATCACCATAGAGCCCACTGCTGAGAGCAGCTTGACAAGGTGGATTTAACAACACATGAATTTTCACCACAGATGTGTTAGCACAACCAAACAAATCAATCTGGCACCACTTTTTTTTAAAAAAAAGGTCTATTGGACCATCCAAGAATTTTCATGGGAACAATGAAACATTTGATATTTACTCACTGTGAAGTAGGTGATACTGTCTTCCCAAAACAGAATTCAGCCCCACCCTGGAATGAATTGCACTTACGAACCTATATTTTATCACTGCACACTTCATGACCTTAATCTACCAATACAATGTGCCATCAGACCACACTAATTTCAAACCAGCACTTCAATTACTATATGGTTAGTGGCACAGCTTGCTTCTGGTTATCAACTTATACCAGTATATTTTAATACAAAAAATTGTTAAAGATTCAATATTCATGCCATTTTTTGTGAAAGTCATAATAAAACAAAGACACTCAATTACATTTTGCTAACTTTTTATTTCACTTAGAAAATAATGTAAGAGGTTCCCTAAAAGAATATTGTCTTAAAGGGATTCCGAGGCAAAATCATAAATCCATGATTGTTTTTGTTTTCTTAATAGTGACCGTGGTATGTAAAACATCATCTGCTGTCAGTCAGTACACAGTCACCTTAAACCCTTAGCACAAATAAAAATAACAAAAACATGGAAATAATGGTTGAGGGGAAGATTTTGATAAATCAACAGCTTTTAAAGAACACTCATTTTGAACATTGATGCGCAGAGCCAACTTTGAATTCTAATACAATGCATTTGAAATCAAGGTTTTCTTTAGCAAACACCAAACAAGTACTAAAAATGGATGACTATGGGCTGATCGCCCAACACTCTACAGGTCATCAGTTTCAGCGTTAAACTCTAGATCTATTCCAAGGTTGACTAAAGATTCTGTGCTCATTGGAGTCCAGCCCAGAGGGGTCCTGTTAAAGTTTGGCCGGGTGCTGATGTCTTGGTTAGATACGATTACAGGCTCAGGTTCTGGTGGAGTTGGATCAAATTCTGGTAGCTGAAAAGTCATCAATTTGGCTGCCTTTTCAAATCCTCCGTATGGCTCAGCAGACCTGAAAGTATTTTAAATGCATGTTTGCTTTTTAAGACTAATGTACAAAATAGTTATTTTCTTTCTTGAACTTTCTTACGAAGTATTGTGCTATAGTTGCACTACTATAGGTGCCTATGGTCACCTCACACCTTGGCATTGTGCTCTGCCACTGTCAACCCCTCTGGGAGACTATCCTGCATGAGGGGCACTATGTAAATGCATGTTGTTCTTCTAATATTAAAAAAAACTCTGCAAGATGTTCTTTAGTTTAGTAAAGGAATTTATGAACAAGATCAAGTTTCATGTTTGCATGCATTGCCTCAATTCAAGAATATAATATTAAGGATTAAAAATGTACAGAAAAACATCTTACTAGGTGTTAGAGATGCGAATCGTATATATCAAACCATTTTTGTTACTAATTTCTTAAGGTGGAGTATTTAATGCAACTCAAATGCAACTATGTTTTACTTGCTGTGTAATTTCTAACCCAAGGAGACTGCCATTCCTTAAGCAGAGTGTTCAGCAGGAAGAATGTGAGGAGGGATTTCAATGGTATGTTGAGATATCTTGTGTCACTGCAATATCATGTCACAGAGCAATAGTCTATTTAAGGATGCCAATCAGGTCACATAAACTTACCATAGACAGAGTTTATATTCTTGACTACATAATAAGCAGTGTGAATATTCCTAGTGACTTGAGGCTGCTAGACATAAAGCTACCCTTTGGGAACTGTGACATTTCTAAAGATGTATTACAAATCCCACTATTACATGGGTCACTGAGATTCCATATTCTTTGATCACACGGCACCTTTCAACGTGGTGGACAAACTGGCTGATCCTCAACTTGCTTCTGTTGCAAAACAGCTGCTGTGGGCAGTGTACTGCAGATAACCATTTGAATACTAATAATAACCAGCAAATCTTGTTATATAAGCATTTTCTGATTGGCAGCAGGCTTCAACAGGAATCAGCCTTGAGTTGATTTAGTCACGGTCCCACTTTGTGTTGCTAAGAATCTTTCTACCACCCACCCCTCTATTTACATTGGAATGCCTTTAAAAGGGAATGGGGAGAGAGAGGGAAGAGAGGATATCAATTTATTTGATGAAATATCTAATAAATCGTACCTGAAAAAATCCCTGTACTTCAATTATATGAATAATTCTAAAACATTTCAAATGGGTATCTGAGAATTTCTCATGAATATGTCACGTTAACAAATGGCCATATCTCATTCTTTTAAAAAATGTTCAGAATAAATCAATATTTTCAAATATATGCCACTTTAAAATGCCCATTATTTATACAGATGGATAAATAAGTGCATTGTCCGGCATTGCTAGAAAAGTATGTAATGATTAGAATACTATTTTTCATTGCTTAGTGCTTATAAACCACTTACTTAATTCCTTCAGTGATTTAGTAATTGCTTCAGTTCCCTTAATAATGAAATGTCAAATTTCACATCCAACAGCATTAATTACATTTAAAGTTGTTAAAGCTTATAATATACACCCAAAGGCACTAAATGCTGAAAACACCTACTATGTCAGTAAGGTTTTAGAATAATGCATCTAAATTTGACACTGGGTCCACCTCTGGAACTTCATCCCGGAGTCCCTTCACTTTTTCCCTTCCCACGCCTCTTTCAAGGTCCGTCTCAAGACCTTCCTCTTTGACCATGGCTTTGGTTATCTTTCCATCCCTGCTCCATTCCCCTTGGCACCCAGCCTTCCCAAATCCAACACCTGCTCAGGTGCAAAACCCTCCATTGTCCAGCATTTTGGGACATCCTCCCGAAGTTAAAGTCGTTATATAAATGCAATAAATAAATAGCACAATGCATTTTTTGTTACTTTAATCCAACATCATCTTCTAGCATTTTTACTTTAACATTTTGACAATTGTCTCACCTGTTGAAGCTCTTAAATTTACGAAGTTTAAATCCACCAGCAGGAGCTTCCATATGTAGATCCATGGTTGCCTTCAACTCCGGATCATTCCCCATTGCCCGTTCCCAAGGTGAAATATAGGTTTTGATCGTAGACACATATTTTTTCCCAGTTTCACCAGTCCCTTTACCTCCACCAACACCACCTATTAATAAATGTAACACACACAAGAGGAAGATGCTAAAAGTTGGTTGGTTGTGATTTGGGGTTGAAAAAGCCACAAACGGAATAACTACTAGAATAGAGTGCCACCTAGTGCAGGAAGTAAAGATTCAATTAAAGCATTCAAATATGACTTGGATTAATTTTTGATTCAGCAGAACCTGGGTAGGAAAAATAGTACTCATCCATCTTGTTTTGGTATTAACTAACAGATAATATTTTGTATCGGATAGACATGATCTTCATGTGAATATCAGCAATACAGAAAAGGGTATCAGAGCTAAACTCCATCAACATGAACACACACACATATATGTACACAGTTCCATGAGTAACTGTAACTGTACAGGGATTAGGAATGGGAATTATAATTGACTCCTCCATTCAGAGTGCTAAAAGCAATTGTAGCAATTGAGTTGTTGCCCTAACTGAGATTACCCAATTCAGTACAGACTAGAAATCAAACCTGAGACTTCTGATCCACAATAGTTTAGTAGTGTACCGGGGATCAATTGGGGATATCTTTGCCCAGTAGGCCATTACTGATACTTTTTTAACAACAAAGTTAAATTTTAAAAATATTCTGTTCACCAAGAAGAGAACATCTTTTAAAAGTATTATTTCAGGGCTGGTAACAACTGAGAAATGGAAATAGGCATTCAATGTGTCATCAAGATTTTAGCTCCAATCCTCAGCTGATATCAGCATTCTGCTCAGTGGAGAAAAAAGTTCCAAAAAGCATATACAGTAATTGTTAATGAAATTCAATTGAACCTCAGTTCTAAGTACGGTCATATTTGAAAAGAGCTCCATCCCAAATTATCAGCAGCCATTGAAATGCTCTCCTGTTCAAATGATTCACAAATGAGCACTCTAACTTGTCAAGCAGTGAGATAAGCCCAATTAGTGCACACATTTAAATCTAATCTTTTGCATTAGTAGTGAATGCATTCTGAAAATAATGGTCGAAAGTTACAAAGAGTGAAAATATTATAAAATATGTTATGCCACAATTTATTTGGAGCTTCTGATGGCAACAAGCTGTTGAGTTTAAAACAGTGAAACATCTCAGTTGGTAAATACTCTGCTTGTAACTAAAACGTTATGGGTTCAAATCTTACGAAGGTCTTCTCAATCTTCAATCCTCCTGAGGTTAGTAAAATGAGTAAAGTAGCCCATCCCATGTGAAATAAGAACAGGTTTCATGCATACCCATGGGCCCATTACCATGGAAATCTGCCAAATGACTTAGAGAACCTGGCTCAAAGCCATACAAAGCAAGACCTGAGTGTTGCCCTCAGAACATTTCAAAATGAGCAAAGTGATCTTTCTTACCTATGAAAGAACATCTGGAGGAGTGAGTATAAGTATATTTTATGTTTGTAAATGAGTTTCCTTTAGGTGTGAATCCAGAACAAGGGGGCATAATCTTAAAATTAGAGCTAGACCATTTAGGAGTGAAATTAGGAGGCAGTTTTTCACCCAAAGGTTAGTGGAAATTTGGAATTCTCTCCCCCAAAAGTCTGTGGAATCTGGATCCATTCACATCTTCAAGACAACGGTGGATAGATAATTGTTAGGTCAGGGAATGAAGGGATATGGGGCAAGTACGGGAAATTGGACTTGAGGTACAGATCAGCCATGATTTTATAGAATAGCGGAATAGGCTCGAAGGCCTGAATGGTCTACTCCTGTTTCTATGTTTCTGTCTCCTGTTTGTTTCCATGACTCTTTCTGCCTTTCACTCCCTCATTTTCTTCCTCTATTGTCCTCTATATCCCTATGCCATCCCCCTGTTTCATGTCTCTGTCTTTATATCCATCACTCTGTTTGTCTGATTTTGCCTCACTCATTAGTCTTGCTCTGTGCCTCCCCCTCCCTGTTCTTGCACACTGTCTCTCACACTCACTTGATCCTCCCCATACGTCTCTTTCATCTCACTCTCACCTCTCTTTCCAACTGACTCAATAACACTGTAAATCTCTGCCTATTTAATGTAGCTTCCTTGTATGCGACACTCTCTCTTCTGTATTTTTGCTCTTGCTTATCTCCCCTGAACATACTCAATCACACTTGTTCTCACTCTTCTCTCTCTCTTTACCTCTGTCTCTCTTTCATCTCTCATATTGTTTCATACTGTGGAATGCCTGAGGATTTTGAGGGCATTCCAAAGTCCTGTAACTTAGTAGTTAGTGCCTTGCAGGTGAGAGGGCCAGGGTTTGATTCTCGAGCAGGGCGGAACACTGGGCAAGTTTCCTTACTCCACAATCCTCTGTTTACCAAGCAGTAAGTAGGAACCTTGTTATTCAATTGTCGGAATTTACAAAATAAAATAACTTGGGTGACTCAATCCACGACTGTTTGTGGGATACTGCTGTGCGCAATTGGCTGCCCACAAAATATACAGTCGTCTCGAAGATGTGATAAGGCGCAAGAATTAACGCAAGGATTAGTATTATTATTAAATTTGAAATGTGAGGGTATGACTCTATCTGGAGATTAAATTTCAGGGCAGCACCTTCTGGCCAACAATTCCCAGGTAAAGCAATTGATGATTCACTTCATGGCTGTCTGTATGACATTGCCATGTGCAAATTGGAACTGAGTTTGCCAACAACTAGAGTCACTATAATAATAACAATAATAATAATCTGTAATGTAAACTCCACAGAAAAATGGTGTTACTTCAATTGCAAGGATTATTAATATTTTTATAACTGCTCTACAAAGTGACTGACAAAATTATCCTTGGTTTAATTTCAAGAACATATCCCGTAGTTGATAAATACTGTACGAAGAGAGGTACTGACCCATGCAGTGCACAAAGTTCCCAGGTGTGATACCTGATCTGTGCTGAGTTAGCTGATCTCTGTGGTGGGATCCCAATATTGTCTTCACTGTTCCTAAGTTACGAAGGTAAACATCTACCAGGTTCCTATTCCTTTAGCCCTTGTTGGGAAATGTTTGTGGGACACTGAAGGCTTGCATTGGGTTGTATTGAACTTGTCTGTGATGTCCAAAGTGAAGGCGCTAACTCAGTGGCTTGGTTCACTGTTGGAACAGCATCCCAGCATGAAACTGGAGGAAATAGAGCTCAACACTAAAAGAGTTCAACACTAATTAGCTAATACAATTGATAAAATTATCTTAACATACTGCTTAAGACTATTTTTACTGTCTTGTCAGTAGGCCTGTATTTAATATTGGGGACTATCATATACTGATGAAATTATAAATCTTATACCTTTATAATGTAACAGATATCTTGCTGTTTTTACGGGCTGGCATATGATAGATACACACTGTTACTGCTCCTTCTATGCCAACTCCATTTTAAAACTCTAACCTTTAATTTACGTCCATAGTTATTTATTTATTCAATGTCTGGGGATCATTAAAAAATGTGATCAAATTCCAATAATAAACTTCAAGGTATTCTCATATCAGGATTTTACCAGGCTGGAAATAATTGTTGTAATCTTTTATTGTGCCTTGTTCCGAATATAATTTTATATTTTATGCTTTAAGAATTTTCAATTGGAAAAGTAATGTCTGTCTTAAAAATAGCAGCCCTATTTGAAAATTCTCGCAGTAGTTTCTGCTGCAATCTACAAGTGCTACAATCATGTACATTTTTCCAGTTTTACAAACTTCAACGAAATGTAGAATTAATTCCATATTCTATCAAATCGTTTTATATGTTGGCTGTATTCTTTCATGCAATATTGATCATTTATTTTGTATAATGTTGTGAAAAATTGATCTATTAGAATAACCCGTTTGGTGTTTAAAATATGAAAGTGTTCTTCAATATTCAAGAGGTTAGCTCCTCTTGTAGAGCACATACTTACTCTGATTCGCACTGCCTCCAACCCCCCCACTTCCTCCAACACCTCCAGTTCCACCTCCATGACCATCTGTGCCAGTTTGTCCACCCCCAGAAGCTGATGTGTGATGAGGCTTTGGGTAGGGAACTGGAGCCTTTGAATGCTTTCCAGACTGGAAGGATCCATGTGTTCCTCCAGTTCCCATGCCTCCGCTTATCTCCACATCACCGTGACCATGTACACCTGAATAAGGTATGTATTTCTGAAAATTGTCCTGGAGAAAAATCAAAAAGAGTGGAAGAAAAATCATAAAGCTTGCTGCAGTTATACAGTACTCACAAAAATTAAATAATGTTATTCCTGATTATTCTGATTTGCTCCAATTCAACTTGGATCTGAGTTAAGGTTCATGGTTGCAACATAGTTGTGACCTACCCCGACAGATAAGCAGAGAAAAATTCCCAACAGCTTCATCAATCTTTGAGGTCCAGTTTGGTGAGATTTTCCGTATTTAATTATTTTAATATTGAACAGAAAAGCAAGAGGAATTTGTTTAAAGAAAATTCTACATTGAGTTTTAACGCTGGAAGTAGTTCATTATTTCAGCAGCATATAAGTAGGCAAACAGCAGTGCAGATATTCAGAATGAGAATCCTCTGCTTCCAGTTCTGATATTACAGTGACCTGAGAAGAGCTATGAACATACACAACTAATTGCATCAGCACAGCAACCATTAACTGGTTCATGCACGATTCAGTTTTAACACTATTAAAGATTGCGCAAACAGAATTTAGGGATTATTTGAAAATGGACACCAAATTGGTTCGCACAGGCTGCAGCAGTGACTAACTTCCTGAGCAAACCACCTCCTCAAGATGATCTTGATACCAGGCTCTAATTTGAATCACCCATGCATCAAACCACATTGCAAAACAGCTGAACTGTCTTTTAGAAGCAAAGTACATATTAAGCCGGTTGCTAAACTTCATACAGTGCAGTACATTTACTGTTAGTAATCTTTCGTGCACATAATGCCATTGAAATCAAGATAGCAAGTTATTTGGAACTGCTTCGGTTCCATAAACCTATCTGGTTTTAATTACATAGCAGTGACATGGCAACATCACCCAGTGAGGAATTACCCTGCCATATGTCCTAACTGCTAATTTTAGAGGCATTACAACTGAATTGATTGGGTTGTTTATCTTATCCATTCCTGTTTCTATAGAATTTTCTAAGAACTTTCTTGATTTTTTCCTCTTTTTAATTTTCCTACTCTGACTGCTTTCCTCTTTTCCTTTCATTCTTTGCTTTTTTAAAATTGGATGCCTGATTTTATTTTTCATTTATTGTTTCTTTCCTGATGATTATCATAATAATGAAAACACAAGAAAAAAATCACTTATTTATCCCAGCATTCTTTAAATTGCAGTTTTATTGAATCAAGTCTCATTTCCACACTGACAGCTTTAAGGCTAGTCTACAATTTAACAAATTTACATCCAATGAAGTTATCTATTAAGTTACTTCAGCTACCTGCTATCTTTAGCTTGTAATCCTGTACCTGGTTCTCCCATCTTGTTTTTACATTAGGTTTCCTCAAATACAGAATTGATTTTCTGCATAATTTGCAATAAAATGTTTTCTTATAATATAAATTGTAGTAGTTATAGATCTATTGTAAACCATCACACTGGGATACGTGAAGTTAGTGTTAACACCATGGACTAATGTGTGGCAATTTGTAACAGGAGTCATCAATAGCAATTCCTACCTATAACCAAATGTATGTCACACGGGCCTCTGAATCTCCAATGAGATTTACATTTGATCACAGGAGTTCCTGTGGATTGACTTCACACAAATTCATTACCAGCAGGAATCCTTAATAGTGAATTGTGTTCAAATCATCACACTTTGGACCCAGAAGTAGCTGAGATGAATGATTGCAACTGTGTTAGAACACAAATCAAATCATGGCCAAATAGGATAGGTACTGAGAAAGAGAATTCACCAAGATCGATGGAGAAAAGAGAAGAGATTCATAGGACAATTACACTGTCAATAAAAGGTCAAGTAAAAGGTGCCTAAATGAGAGATGTTATCAAGATAGATAAAAGAGCAGGAAGCAAGCCAAGACTAGATAAGACAATGCTGGAATAGGATAGATGGAGGAGCAAATTAGAAAGGATGCCAAGATGGATGGAGGACAAAGGAAAAGAGCTGACAAAAGAGAAAAAGTTTCTTGGGTTAAGTGGAGTTCAAGTACAGTGGATTATTGGTCTACTTTTCCCAACAATGAATTTCAATTGAATACTTTACAGCTGAGTACATAATTGTGAACATATAAGGTGGAAAATGTTTTAAAACATGGCAAAATGTAGGATTTCATGGACTGCGAAAGTATTTCTTTTCCCAAGGATTTTATTTGGCCTGTAGTCTCATTGTTCCAGGAATTGATAGCAATACTTAACTTGGTTAATTGTGTAATAATGTATTGTGCACCTCATAGCAGGATGGATGCTGCATGAATATTTTAATGACATTTTTATAACTCCTTTATGGATTAAAATGTTGATTCAATAATTCCTGAACACCTTCCCACTCCTGAACAGTAGCAAAGCCTTTCTTTACCTTATGTTTGAAATGCAAAAAGGAACTAACACAAGACCGTTTAATGTGCTGCCGAATGAGCTGTATGGGATGAAAAGCATGGAATTTTAAATTAAATGACAGTGGGAAAAAATATGATATCCGCAATTTAATAATAAATCCTTACTTTTTTTTGCATCTTTCACGTCAGGAGAATGATTCAAAGCGCTTCACGGGATATATCTCTGAAATATAGTGACTGTTTTGTGGGCGAACATAGCTGCCAATTTTAGAGATATCCCACAAATAGCCATTAAGTGAATGACAAATTTTATTTAGGGAATTCTTGGCCAGAACACTGGGAGAAACTCCTTTCTCTTTTTGAATAGTGCCATATGATCTTTAACATCCACCTGGACGGGCAAACAGGGACACAGTTTAACAAAACGCGAAATACTGCAGATGCTGGAAATCTGAAACAAAAACAGAAGTTGCTGGGAACACTCAGCAGGTCAGGCAGCATCTATGGAGAAAGGAAAGTGAGTCAACAAAGCAGTGTCAAAGTGTCAATACTGCAGAACAAAAACGGTGGGGGGTGAACATTGCAACAAAATAGGCAGACCAGAGAGAGAAAAGGTGTGTCTGGGACCAAGATGATGTGGTAATGTTCACTTCTATTCCCCTGCTTTATTGCAATCCCTCCCCCCCTTTGTTTTGCATCAATAACACCTCTTTAACCCATCATCCCCTGTCCTCTACTCCATTTTCTCCTTTGTGTTCCTTGCCCTGCCTCCCCCCTCTCTGTTAGTCCTTAAAGTCTCTCCCTCCCAATATGCCCCAGTTCTGACGAAGGGTCAAGGACCCGAAATGTGGGCTCACTTTCCGTTCTCCGTAGATGCTGCCTCACCTGCTGAGTGTTCCCAGCAACACGGTTTAACATTTCATTTGATGGACAACACCCCTAAACTGGAGTGTCAGCTTAGACTATATGTGTTCCAAGTCCTGACATGGGGCTTGAAACGACAAGTCAAAATCAGAAGCGAGAATGCTACCAACTAAGCCAGCCTGACACATATAATCTGGATCCCACGTTATTTGACTGGCTGCATGAGATGCAGCAAATGGATATACTGTAGTTTTGACTTTATATCACATCTTTATAAAAAAAATGCTTACCATTGAGTCTGAATTAAAGATGTCAGGATTTGACTCATAGATGAATTTTTCGACCCTGAGCTTCCTCTGTTTAAACATCTTGGATCCTTTATTGTTCAGCAGTGAGAGTTCTTCCAACATGACATCTCTTGGGATGCTGATTTTCTTCCCAAGGTTCAAATCGGTTCCCTCTACTGAAGAAATAGGTGAAGGAAAACATGACATAAGATTGAAAGAGTTAGCAAAAATTCTCATCAGCCATTTGTCTTCATTGGAAATTGTTGTTAAAACATATTATTTTTACGACTATGCTTACAACGTGCAAAGGAGATATTTGTGGCAAAGCAAGCTGCTATCAATAAATCAAACATACAAAAAGCACTTGAGAGGTTAGCACTCACTGTGGTCAAGTTCATTAATTACAGTGCCTTCTGTCAAGTGGAAATATAATCCTGGCTCTCCATAATTATTTATAAAATCATCAGACTCTAAATGTACAAAAACAATGTATGAAAAGCGGCTTTATTTTATATTTATAAAAATTAGGACTGTTAAATAGTCTGTTGAATGTGCTTGTGATGTAAGATTTACATTGTAGCACAAATTGATTGTGGATTGCAATACTACAGTTTGTTGAAAATAATTGATATTATTATATAATATAATATAATAATCCTTGCATTTGATATAGCACTTTTCATGTCTTCAAGACGTCTCAAAGCGCTTCACAGAATATACTGTAAAGTGAATTGACTGTATATTTATGGGCGAAACGCAGGAGCCAATTGTGTGCTAAAAGAGAAGACAAATCGAGGGGTGTACAGCAAAACATGTTGTTTCTTCAAAAAACATCATATACTTGAAAAATCAAAAATTCTGCAACAATGAATCTAATAGTTTGGCGAAACTGCTTAATCTCATGCCTATTTTGTTACTTTTAACAAACTGATTACTGTGCATCGTAATCTGAGTAGTTGCTTCAATCTGGAAAGAGATTGGTATCTTTAAAGGGAAAGTTATGTTTGTAACGCCAAGCGGATGTTATAAATGGAGGACCTACCATCTTTAAGAGCTTTTATAATTACTCTGGATGACTTTTTCCTTTTTGCCGGGGCAGGAGTACCTAATAACGGCATAGTTCTTGTGTTCTTTTTCCTGAAAAATGAGGAGGCAAAACAGACATATTTTGTAAGCCAGTAATCATGAAGCAAATTCAGAGAAAAGCTTCTAACTATTGCAGCTTACGACTTTCAAAAATGAGAGTCGGATGTTTGCTACCAGACAAGTTAATTTAAATCCCATTTGATTATCACAAATATTCCATTACAAATTTAACATATTATAAAAAAATGCTTTTCAGATTGGAAAATAATTTAGGTTACATTGTTGTCTTAGCTCCTACCAAGACTTTTCAATATGCTGGGTTGTTAGTTACTCCCTCTGAGCCAATCAGGAGACAAAAAAAACAAGTAATTCCTATTTTTTATCTCTCACTCATAGATCAAAATGGTAACAATTTTAAAAAACATCCTTAACAGAGACCTTTCAAATATATTAAATCCTCCCCTTAATAGGCAATGTTTATGGCTCCCTTGAAAGTAGAGAAGCCATATATAAAGCACTATGTCCTTGATCCACAAATTGCCATAACACATTCCTTGCTATAACTTTTCATATGTCTCCTGAGAGTAAGGGTCAAAGGAAAAGTCTGCTGTGCTACATTTCAAGGAAATTCAAATGTAGTCAACGTTTTATGACAGTTTTACAGTTGTTCACCATGCAACTTACCGTTTAAAACTTTTTGTTCACTGGTTGCAGCCTCAAGTCAAGATTTGCCAAAATAAAGTGTTCCCAACTGTAGATTGGATAAAATGTTGTACTTCAAAGTGAGGAAGGTGCAAGACTTGTGTCTGCACAGCACTAAGTGCTGGTGCACAGTGAGGTGAATTCGATTCCAAGTGTTTTTTTTTGCATGTGCATCATCGAGATATATATAGTATGGAACCAAGGGCTCAGATAGCAGCAAGACAAGGCAAAACCACATATGTAAGCAGTCTTCAAACTTAGAATGATGAGCTACAAAGTTCTCCACTGCAAAATTGTGCAGATCGGTTCAAGATTCACACAACTCACCAAACCAGGCAGTTCCAAAATGTAGTAGTCAGCATTTAGGGAACCCAATATTTGTATTAGTATTTATTCAAGTTAAAAATTAAAACACACCACAGTTCCCCTGATATTTTAGTGAATAAATGTGCCATTTACTTTGGCACTGAGCCATGCAGGCCGGGAAATCCCAAGTTTGATTGTTGGTCTGTGCTATTACCTCATCTCAGTCATGGTGAGAGTGTTGCAACTACAATTGGTCTTGATGTCCCTGGACTAGAGAGGGATAAAATTGGCCAGGGTTCCCAGTGCAAATCAAAATGCAGCAGTGTGTACAAGAATAGTGAGTGACCAATGCTGTGATAGATCCAGAATTGAATTACCTGGATGAGCTCACTGTCAAGGGTCACACATACAAAATAGTCTCTTAGGAACCATTACCCAACAAACCAATGAATTGCTGGCTTCAGAAGACGACATAAAAAAGATGTTTATGCAGAAAAAAGAAAATAAGCAGACTTCAAGCAGCAACCTTCTTTGCGCCAAGAAACTTGGGTAAATATTTAACTGTATTGATTTGTTGCAATTTCTAGTTTCCTAATCAATGTAACACTCTAAAATAGCAAACCTGAATGAAAAAAGAATTCTCCAAGCACATTTGTAATATAGGGATATTATAGACACAACATTCCTGAGTTTGTGAAATTTATTTAAAATTAATTATAATGGAATTATTCATGTGAATAAACAAGATGGAATGTTGGGAGATTGGACCAATGGACAAATCATCTATGTTCAGTGATTCTCTGAAAACTCCCACTTGTCAGAAACCAGAGTAAAATTATTCAGCAAAATGAGTACGGCAAGACCAATGAAGCATTTAAGGCCTTGTTAAATTGTACCAAGCAAAAACACCTTTACGATTCTGCAGCAGAAAACACACATTAAGGTGAATATTTAACAGGTGTGGTTGAGGCAAAATTGATATTAGCTTTTAAGAGGGAACAAAATATATTACCTAGAGAACTGGAGAAATAGAGAAATTTGCAAGGGTGTAAGGAAAAGTGGGGGGGTCGGATAAATCGATTCCTCTTTTAAATGACTAGGCAGCCACGATGAGCCAAATGGCCGATTCTGTGCTGTACAGTGGCGTAATTACTGTACATTGGTGCAAGTGGTGCAGTCACACCAGGGTCCCTGGGGTTAGCAGGGGACCAATCCATTGGCAGTGGACAACTTGTGTTCTCTCCCCATTTCAATATAGTTTCATAATGCATGTGCTTCACTGAGGAGAGAGAGAACATGAGGAGACGGAGATGATAAAGGTAAGTAAAATTTTAGATCTTGGAATTGGGAAGGGGGCCCTCACCTATTGCACCAGGACCCCCCCGAGGGCCTTTGACACCACTGGTGTTGGAAATGTGTGTACTTTCACCCACAAAATACACATTCCACTTTACAGTATATCCTGTGAAGTGCATTGATGATACTTCTTCCACAGTACTGCACTGCAGTGTCAACCTAGATTGTGAGCTTTAATCCTATATGTCTTGTACACATATGTTAGTATCATAACTGCTAACTCTGACATTTGATGTGAGATGCAGTTTTGTGACCTTTTGAGAACAGGTCACAAAACTACATGTTGTTGGCTGAAAGTGTGCTGGCAAGTACTTAACACTATGTGTTGAGAAAAATGCAGCATCAACATGGAGATTAATAATTAGATTAAAAATGTTGTTACATTCTATGTGAAATTAATATATTTTGTTAATGTTTGATTTGATTTATATATTAATGGAGAAAACATTTATTTGTCACAAAACCTTGACCGCATTCTCTCTTAAGGATGACGATCTGTGAAATAAATTGGTGACTATCTCTGAAAACAAATTCAGCATTTCTGCTAACTTTATATCCACATGGAAAGTGTAACTCACCTGAAAATATTTCCTTTCCAAGAAGAACATCCATCTAATTAGAAACCTTTATGGTTTCAATGATTCATTGTAATGTATAGAGTGCCTATGTGCTAATTGGGGGAAAATTTTAATCACCATAGGTGAAAAATTCTGGCCACACCTTAATAGAGTTATGACAGAAATTGGAGAGTAAATAATACACCCCATGTTAAAATCCTGGCAAAATTACATAGAGCATTTATTGTAAGCCTATAGAAAATTCACATTATCACTGTGAAAACCTTAATTGGCCCTCACTAGGTATGAGTGAGAGATCAATATTTATTGTGTAAATTCCATTGTTCTTGTCTGATTGAAACCCACTGCTGATTTACGGTTGTCAGGTTTTGATGCAAGTATGCTGGAGTCTCTTTAAAATGGCTCTTCATGGCAAATTGGACAATAGGTAAATGGGGAACATGTTCCTTTAACATTCTTTTCAGTTATTCGTGGAGTCCTGTAGCTCAGTGGTTAGACCACTCACCTCGCAAGAAAGACTTGGGTTCAATTCCCGGCAGGGCGAAACTTTGGTCACGTTTCCTCACTCCACGCGTCTCTGATTACCTAGCAGTAAATAGGAACCTGGTTGTTAGTCGATTGGTGTATCGCTGTTCTGAGGGGAATAATTCCTTTTAAAAAAAATAATAAATTGGTCACTTCAATACTTGATTGTTTGTGGGACACTATTGTATGCAATTGGCTAACACGTTTCGCCCACAAAATATACAATCAATTCACTTGACAGTATATTCTGTGAAACCCTTTGAGACGTCTCAAAGACATGATAAGGCGCTCTATCAAATGCAAGGATTATTATTATTGTTTTTTTTTATTATGTTTTTTATTTTTACCCGTACATTTCTGTGTCCTGGACATAAATAATTTCTGTGTGAAGTTGTTTGCCTCACCACACACCTTATTAGATCTTCCTCTACTCAAACCTCACTAATCACATCCACGCTTGATTATGCTAACTCCCTGCTTGTCGGTCAAGGTGGACGGTAAGTACCAGGAACTCTCTCACGAAATTATAAATTCTGCCAGTATACATCATGTAGACCTTAACAATCACAGAGGATGTTACGCTTCAAATTTGCAGCTTCTGATAAGAAGTTATTTTTAAGAATAGGTCTTTTGAGACAAAACCAGCTTGTCTGTTTCGACACAAAAGGAATACTTCAAGATGCCTGAATAAACCTCATAAATTATATTTCTAGATCTATGATGGACTGCATTATTGGATAGAATGTTTAGATTTCATGAAAATGTGGGAAAGTTTCGTCAAAATATGTTTTTGCTCTGGAGTGTCAGATTAGTTAGAATAATGATTATGTATTTTTGGTCTATATTAGCTAACTATTCTCTGATGGGAGACATAAATGACTTAATGGAGCAATAATTCCATCAGTCACTTATGTTATCTTCAATTCAATAATTTATTATAATACCCCAAACCCATGTTAATATTTTTATATTACATATTTGTGGAGTCCTGTAGCTCAGTGGTTAGAGTACTCGCTTTGCAAGTGAGACACCTGGGTTCAATTCCAGGCAGGACGAAACCTTGGGCAAGTTTCCTTACTCCACACGCCTAATAATAATCCCTCCAAAACCAAAAACAATAATAAATTGGTCATTTTCAATCTACGACTGTCTGTGGGACATTGCTGTGCGCAATTGGCTGCCGCGTTCGCCCACAAATATAGTCAATTCACTTTACAGTGTGTTCTGTGAAGCGCTTTGGGACGTCCTCCCGATGTAAAAAGCGCTATATAAAATGCAAGGATTATTATTATTATTACATGTAAACACATGCATATATACAACATACATGTGTGTATGTCAATGGAAGGATACCTTGAGTACTGTAGGTGTTTAAGATGTAATGAGAGAGTATTGGCTTCATTATTTATTATTTATATTATTTCTCTACATATGTAATTTACCACCACTTACTCTCTGTAGATCTCACTCTTCACACCTACCTTCATGCTCTTGGGACTGACTGACAAAAGCCAATCATGTGCCTTCCTATTACTCTCTTAGATTTCTTCATTTCGTAAAGAGATAGATGCCCTGCTGTGAAATCGCAACCAATCATGCTTTTGCACCAGTTCCTATGAGATGCAATGGAGTGCTACAAGTTAGTTTTTCTCCCTCTAGTTTTCCTTCCTTCCTTCTCCCAGGCAGCGTAGCTAAGATTAACGACGGGCCATGCATCCAGGCACAATCTTGATTGTAAAAAAAAGGCAAAATACTGCAGATGCTGGAAATCTGAAACAAAAACAGAAGTCGCTGGAAACACTCAGCAGGTCAGGCAGCATCTATGGAGAAAGGAAAGCAAGTCAATGTTTCAGGTCCACGACCCTTTGGCAGAACTCAACTCGTGGACCTGAAACGTTGACTCACTTTTCTTTCTCTATGTGCTGCCTGACCTGCTGAGTGTTCCCAGCGACTTCTGTTTTTGTTACCATCTTGAATATGTTGGCCTCTGGGTCACTCCATTATTCCTCATTCCATGAACACTGGTGAAGTTATATTCTACTATGTATCTTCTGATTATGTTGACCATATTTTAATTGCTTAATTCTGTGAGAATCCCATGGATAAATGAGTCAATCACGTTTCATTTTATTATCTTACACCAGCATACATTACATGATTTAAACATTGAAGCTCACATTCATAATCACACAGGTATCTCTTGAAACAGTAAAAATAATGCTGCATATAAGAAACAATCCCTTTCTGTAAGGTATTTGTTTAGTGCAAGCTTGTACTTTATTCATTGTACCTACAAACTTGAAGTGCATTAATCCTACAAATAAGATCCTTACCTATCCCCCTCACGAGCAATATCTGATTTTATAGATGTTCTTAATGTAGTCCTTGATTTTCATTGGTTGTAAAGCTATTTTGAATGTTACTTTTGTTAGTTAATAAAAAATATTTTTTGATAAAATTCTTCCTTTTATGTCTGTCTCATGTATAGATTTCCACGCAATGAGGGCATTTTAACAACTGAACAAATGAATATAGCAGTGCCAACCAAAATGTGGGTTAATGCTGTTTGAATATATTTTGTTCAAACCTAAGAATAGATTTCTGGTTAAAGAGTTAATAAGTGTGAAATTAAAGTTTACTAAAAATAGCAAGAGCACACAACATAAATAGATAGCAATATCTTCAATCAGACTTTTTTTCTAACTAATTTAGATCAATATTCCAAATAGTATTAGCATTTCAATGCCACTTTCAAAATCTAAATATGTTTGCAAAATCAGAGTGATTAAGGTTTGGGATAATTATGTAAGCTATTTGGAAATGTATGTAAATACAAAAATCTCACATTAACTGTATTGAATTGTATACACTTCATGTTAGTTCTTCAGGAGCTTTGTGTTGGTCACAAGGTGATTGTGATTTAATGGAAAAAAATTGCAAATCTTTCCCCTTGCAATATCAAACATTATGACTTAGCCAGTTACCTCTCATTGAGCTAATCCCAGTTGCATTTACTCTGCCTCTATCTCGACTTACAAAAACCCCGACCATCCAGTGTTCCATCTCATCCAGTCTTCCTCACATTTTCAATCAATATCACGTTTTCTTGCCATTCTAACTTAATATATTGCCTTACATTTTATCCTCATGTTTCTCATTCATCTTAGTATGGTATGTGACACTATCACATTAAGATATAAAATACAGTCCGCAGTTTTATGCCATTCATTTAAGAATTAAACTGCAACAAATCATATTTCCATATGTACTATACCATCTCAGAATGCAAGCTCATTACTCCCTGATGAGACCTGCTATACATGTTGGTATTTGGTACTTGTACTAAGAAATCATAGACTTATCTGAATTTAATTTTAGTACAAATCATTCAGATCAAATAATCTTGTTTACTTACTGCATTACATTGCTTTATTATCAAACTCAATGTTGGGATCCAGCCATATGTCCAAGTGTTGCGATCTAACTGCTATTGTTCCAATAAACAAGATGGAAAATATCTAAAGTGCCTACACTTGTCATAACACCAGCATAATCTTTACCCAGAGGGTAATGAATGACTGCAACAAGCTACCAAGAAGGGTGGTTGTTGCCAGGCCCCTTGGACTCACATCTGGAGATAAAAGTTTAATTTAGTATTCATAGTCTACCACTAGAACCCATTAGCATTTTTTGAAAATATTCTGTTAATAAGTTGACCAGTGTAAAAATATCATGAATGTATCAATCGTATCAGACAATTTTGACTTTTCTAATACAAGATTGCGCAACTAAAAACTAGAGCAACTAAAAACTAGAACAACTAGTGATGTGACTAACAATTAGTTCTTGAGCACTATCCCTTTTTGGAATATTTTCATCTAAATTAATTTACCCATATTACAGATATGATATCTGCACAGAGGAATCTGAACATCTCCAAACTTATGCCTTATATTAGCATAATTTCTCCAAGTGATTTTTCTTTCAAACAGGTTATTCCCCCAACCCTAGTTACATCCACACTGTCAATACGTCATGCTAGATAATTGTAAGAACAATCCAATTCCATTCCATCTAGTTACAGTATCTACCCATACTAGCATGACCATTTATAACTTGTATATTATAACTTTGAACTGAAACTAGAGGCAACTGCCATGAATAATTGGATTTAGAAAGAGAAAATTCTCAAAACATAGATCAGTCTTTATATTCTTTTGCACACCACTGTCGGTTATATATGTAAATTCAGTTTTAGCATTCGAGTTGCATTTTGTTAAATCATACACTAAAATAACACACAGTATATATTTTAAAACAGAAAGTTTATCTGTTTCAAGAATGGGACATTTCAGTTGTTAACTTACTAACATGATCTTTTACCAAGTGTTGGAACCTATCTGCTGATGTGTTGAGATATACCTGGCTTCTAGTGATTCACTGATTTCACCATAAGGAAGTGTTGCCCTACCAATAAAGTATTATGGGTAGATGACATCATTGTGGTTTGTATTCTGTAAATGTTTGGTTCAATTTTTAAAAGATGAGTATGATCAAACAGACTGCAATAGTGTAATTCTACCCAAATGCACATTATTAAAAGAAGGATTGGCAACTTTCCAAGAGGTGAAATTGATTAGATGTTACAAGCTGGATTTTATCCACACATAGCATCATGTGGTTCAACGTTTTGGCAGAGGATTATGTTTGGCTGCAAACTATTCAAATGTTCCAATTTTAATGGGTCTTCATTCAGTATGAGAATTTAGTAAAATTCCAAGAACTTAAAATGGCTGCATTTCTCAAGCTCTACACTCCAGGTCTCCACGTGTGGCTGTGAGCTCCAGTTTTTGCAACCACAAACCTTGGTCTGGGCACTTGAATCAAGGTTTTCTTTTGAATTTGAATATTTTCTCTTGGTGACTCATAAGATGTGAAAGCAACTGGCTGGCTAACTCTTGGTGCACTGGATACTTGAGGTAATGCTGGTGGTGGCGACATAGGTGCAGACATCCACACAGGTTCAGCAAGAGTTGTAGCTGATCTTGGGGCAATAATAGTGGGTGTCATTGTTGGCACCGGGGTTGAAAAACGTTTGATTTCATAAGCTCGTGTTGTTTTTACAGGAACATGTTTTGTGGAGATGAATGACATATTATTCTGCTTGCCAGGTTGTGTGGATGGAAGATTTCTTGGTAAGCTTTGTGTTCCCAACTTTGCTGAATCAAAGTTGAACATTGCTGGGTTTAATTGATAAGGCTGATGCCTCATAAAATCTATTGCTTTTATTCCCACCTTTTGATTCACTCCTAGTTTTCCTTTTTTGTCCATTTTAGCACTGGAAGTCGCAGCTTGAGATCTACATGCTGCTAGTGGATAGGACGGCGAATGCATAGGATTGTAACCAATTGGAGGTGGAGCCCGAATGTTGGGAGAATACTTCCACGTGGATGGAAGAGAAGGAGTTGGTGATGGTACTCTTGGGTGAGAAGGATGAGTAGGCACAGATTCAACAACAAACTTGTCCATACGACTTTGCCTTTTTGCAAAAAGTTCAGCACCTTTTCCTTTCAGCTGAGCTATACCTGAGGTGACGTTTCCATTTGAAAGGGGAGAACCATAGCCAACTATATAAGGCTTTACATGAGGCTTTGGAGCTACAGGTGGTGGTGTCTTTTGCTTGCGTGCTTGAGACTGCATAAAATTTGATGCTTCTGCCCCCAGGCTCAAAAAGTCTTCCTCTGGACCAGACTCGAAACCTGCTCCTAAATGATCAGGCTTTGGTTTTACATCCAAATTTTGCACCAAGGAAAGAAGTTCAGGGTTTGGTGAAGGCTTTGGCAGCTCTGTGACAGTGAACATTGGCTTCCTAGTGCTCCGCTTGCGAGCTTCCTGCAAGATTCCTGTTCTAGCAGCAGGAATCGAAATTCTTTGTTCCCTTGTCACTAGATTCTCTGATTGTTGGGATGCTGACCAAGCTACTGATGAAGGGCTCCCAATTGAAGAAGCCTGGGTATTTGCATTAGCACTGGCAGAACCTTTGTTTTGTGACCCTGCTGAGGAGATGTGGAAGGTAGCAGTGGTAGTGACTGGGCCATCGGATATTGAGTAAGGGTTCACTAGAGGATGTGAATCAGTCGCTGATAGTGAAGATGAACAAGGAATTGCTGAGGGTGGGGATGAATAAGTAGCTGGTGGGGGTGAATATGGAGTTGTTGAAGGTAGGGGTGAACAAGGTGTCACTGTGGGTGGGGTTGAATAAGCAGTCGTTGAGGGTGGAGGTGAATAAGGGGTCATTGAGGGTGGGGGTGAATAAGGGATTGTTGAGGGTGGGGGTGAATAAGGGATTGTTGAGGGTGGAGGTGAATAAGGGGTCATTGAGGGTGGGGGTGAATAAGGTGTTGTTGAAGGTGGGGGTGAATAAGGCACAATTTCAGATGGTGAATATAAAGTCATTCTTTTCTTTGGATCCAAAGGCTTTTCTGCCAACCCTAGCTGAGAAGTAGCAATTGCGGTTGGTCTGGAGATTACTGCTGGTGGTGGTGAGAAAGGTGTAGCAAGTCTGTTTTGCATAGTGGGCTTCTCCTGGGCTGTTGTTCGAGATGGTGGATTTTGTCTGAAGAACACCGGCTTGGTTATTGAGAATGCTGCTCCTTTTCGGTTCTGTACAAATCCTGGAGTGAATGGTCTTGCAGTCCTGTTTATTACTCCAGTTGGGAAGGACACATCTTGAATAATGGGTTGGGACTGCTGCTGTTGACTTGATCTTGTAGTCTGTAAATGAGGTTCTGCACTTACTATTGAAGACATATGTACTTCTGGGGAAATGTTTACATTTGTAGGTACATGCATAGGGGTTTCACCATATACATCTGAACCTCTGGACCAAGAACTATCACCATTCATCATATTGCAGTTCATAACTTCAGCTGTTGATTTTGGTTTAATTTGTTGAACACTCTGTTGCATCTGAGCTGGACCTTCTTTACGAGTGTGCTCCCCTGCTCTCTGCCTTTGATGTTCAAACAACAGTACACCCTTACTGTTAGTTTCCATTAAACCCTGTGGTTCAGATTTTGGCTTTTCTATATCCAGATACGAGCTGTCCCAATCTGACCCCGTGGACTGATTTGTTAAACTCTTCGCATCAGAAAATGCTTCTTCATCAAATTCAGATTCACTGGTTGGCAAAATCTCTCCATCTTCATCCAGATTATTCCTATCCTCATCAACACTTCCATAACTAACTAGAGTGTACTTCTTAGCTCGTTGACGGCGTTTCTTGAACATGAGTACTCCCTTTGAATGAGGGTTGGGTGCTGATGTAAGGAGAGATGCAATGGTTTTGCATTTTGTCCTGGCTTCCTTCACCTGCTTTTCCTGCACACTTTCACTCCGATGCAGTTCTGTAATGTTACAACAGAATTTGACAAATTATTGCTTGCTCAAATATCGACCTGCTGTGCAACTATTTCATGCAATTAGTTGTATTTGTTTCAAAACTTTAACATGGTAGTAGCTGACTATTCCCTTGTCAAAACAGGATATTTTCTTTTCTTCTCTTGCTCAAAATAACATGAGCACAATTTCTAAGATTCACCATGGATAATTTCCAACAGCAAAAAGCTTCCGTTTTATCATTTAATGTATATGCCCAGTTACTATCATCATTTCACCCTGGTAAAGTGAAGATTTGTGACTGATGACAAAATTGTGATCGAGTTGAAATTTCCAAAACAGAGATTAAACAAAAAAAGACAACAAGTGGACAATGAATATTAAAGAGAACCCTATTGTATTTAAACGTTTCCTTTGAGGTACTATTCTACCAAAATAGGTGTCTTCATTTCTGATTAAACATCCTCTCACACAAAGAAAAATGCTTTTGAAAAGGATGGTTGGCAGTAAAAATACAGCAAAGTCCAGTGTTTTGCAGAAATATTTTGAACAAACTGTCGTGAGGATGTATCTCACCAAAATATAGGTTCTACAGATCAAGCTGGTTTTATTCGATTCCCAGCAGGTCGAAACCTTGGGCAAGTTTCCTTACTCCACACGCCTGATAATAATCCCTCAAGAAAAAGAAACAATAATAAATTGGTCACTTCAATCCATGACTGTTTGTGAGACACTGCCGTGCGCAATTGGCTGCCGCGTTTCGCCCACAAATATACAGGCAATTCTTTTACAGTATATTGTGTGAAGCGCTTTGAGATGTCTCAAAAGTCGTAATAAAGCACTTTATCAATAGCAAGAATTATTATTACTTATTATTATAAAGTTTACATCACCATAGTGGATTTCCGCAGGTGCCAGATGTCCATCTGACCAAAGACATAAAGCTTACCAATTCTCATCTGATCTCCCATTGCACTCCTTCATCACACCTACACGTGGTTAGAATGTTGTACTCTGGGTTATCACACACACGCACACACATACAGAACACCTGTAATCAATATTTTCATACAAGTGAGCAATTAATGGATTTTAATTTAACAGTTCTAAATATGTCTGAGCATCTGTTCAGTTTTTTTTTAAATTAAGATACATAGATGTATCAATGACAATCCCTTAAATTATTGTAATATATTATATTATTATTTAAATTATTATAATAATTAAATTAAATGATTGCAGCCACATTTCTGCAATAAATATATGCAATCACCCATATCTTTACTGCAGTTTAAAAATATCTGACTATTCACATTATCCTGGAGTTCTGCCCTTCCCTTTCACTTTAATTTATCAATGCTACAATAACATTGACGAACTTCATTGGGGTAAAATTATACACAATATACACACATTGCACGATCATCTTAGTGCATAAGTTCGTCTTGAAGAAAATGAATAACCATTGAAAAATATACTGCTTTAGGAACCTGCATAGATGTGCCTGTTGCTAGCATTCTTCTTTGGATACCGGGTACTAGAGTTCTGCATTCTGTAAATCCTTGCCCATACAGGACTGGAGGCGCTCACGGGCTGGAGAAAACCCAAGGCACAAAATCTCCAAACGTCTCTCCCACCTCCTTTTTAAGCCCTTTGTCCAGCCACCGAACAGGACACGGAAAACAAATTATGTCAGTTTGACTATTTTTACCAGGGTACATACCAAATAGCTTAACGACAGACATTGTCATCTGTCACTGTCCAGTCCGACCTTCAGTGGATTCTTTTGGAAGGAAAAGAGGTTTACCCCCTCAAATAAACTGAACAGATATTGATTGACGTAAGTGTGAAGCACTGAGGTGTCTCTGGGTCATGCCAAGATGTACATTAGCTACTGAAAATACCCCTCCTGCCATCAACTCGTACAGAGAGTCCAGCAAACGAGCAGCCAAATTTGGAGGTTTGAGATAGTTGGCTGGTGGGAACAAGGAATAGACAGAATGTGGCTACAATTAGAGAAAGATATGCCCTTTGTTTACGATAAGGGAGATTAAATTACACAGTGGATATTTAAATAAGTTACATACTGGATATTCAAATGATAAGGCATGTCAGACCAATTATATCATCAATAATAATTTTCCTTGAACTTTAACAGGCAGCGTTAAAAGTGTTTCAACGTTGTTGGATACACGACTCCAAATGGTAGGTCCAATTTCGAAGCAAATTATAAGTGGTGTTTTATTGCAAAAGCTAAATGGCCTTTTTTGATCAGAAATCTAAAATTAGCCAAAGACTGAGTTATCGCAGTTGGTGGTGTATTTAAACGCTCGGGGTTTGAAGTGCTGTCCCCACTGACAATGGCATTCCCAGACTATCACATAACACACACACAGACAGACAGACAGACAGACAGACAGCTGCTGTCACTGCCTTTCTGAGTGTTTTGCTCACATGTGCGTATCATCGACGTGACTTCACGTTCCCACAATAGCCCCCGAACTGAGCCCAGGAAAGAAAGCTCGAGATTAGTTGTTTTCTTTTCCTTTTTTAAAAAAAAAAACCCACCACCAGCACCAGCACCACCACCACCAGCAGCACCACCAGCAGCACCAGCACCAGCACCACCAGCACCCCACAGGTCACCGTAAAATAAAACAACGAGCACTCACTGGCTTGTCTGGCTTTCTCCCTGTAGGTCGTGGTCAGCACTTCGTCCACCGGATGACTCACCGGACCCACCATCGGGACTAACTGTACGTCTTTCAGGTGGACTTTGGTGGGGGACGGCAGTAGGTTTTGCTCAGGTGAGCCGGAGGGCACAGGTACCTCCTGAAACCCGCTGTCGGCCTCCGATGTGTCCGGGACGCCTTGCCGGCTGCTGCCCCCGGGCCCTGGCCCTGGCCCTGGCCCTGGCCAGCTGTCCGGGTAGGAGGCCACCTCCACCTGGGGCTGCCAGATGTTGATCTTGGCTTCCACCCGCCTGGGCTGGAACATCGCCTCGCGGTTTCTGCAGCTGACCCCCGGGGGCCGGTTCCGATGATCGACCGGGTCCTGGGAGCAGGTGCGAGCTCCCGAGTCCGGCTGTGCGGTGCGGGAGAAGCCGGAGCCGAGCTCTGGGGCTGCCGGTCCGCCGGGGCTGGGGCCGGGGCTGGGGCTGGGGCTGGGGCTGGCACTGGCAGCGCTGGCACTGGCACTGGCACTGCCCCCCAGGCTCAGGTGGCACTCGCTCCCGTTGCGAAATGCGCCTCTCGGTTCCGGGCGCGAGTGGTGGAGGTGCTCCGGGGCGCTGTCGTACTCGCTCTGCTCCGACGCCTCGTCGGCCGAGCCCACGCGGGAGGTCTTCACGCTCTGTCGGGGGGAGGAGATGGGGCTCTTTTTCTTCTGCCTGCGCTGTTTCTCGCTTGTAATGTAATCGGCGTCGCTGTCGGTCTCCCCGTAGTAAGCCTCGCTGTCTGGGGGGGAGGTGTAGCTCTCCACGTGGAGCCGCTGCCTGTTGGCTTCGGTGATGGAGTCCGGGCTCTTCAACACCGACTCTCGGGGCGACGCGGCTGTGCGGCGGATCTCGATCTCACGCCGCTCCACGGCGGAGGGGAGGGGGGCTCTGGGCGGTGCCTTTGATGGTGATGGGCTTCGGGCAGAGGGAGAGGCGCCGCGCAGACTTGATTCAGCCTCTGGGCTCCAGGAAACCCTAGAACAAGAGTCAAGTTACCTCTCCGCAAAACAAACAGCAACTGATGCCCAGTGTCCATTCTCAGCTCAAACAATTGAGCCAAACAAACTAACAAGACCTCTCCCCCCCCCAACCCCCCCCACACACACACACACTCACACACTCACACACACACAGATTTCACCAACTACCAACCAGTGGCATCCAAAAGACTGCCTTCCTTCAAAGAACACGGTACACATGACATTACTAATGTTATTAATGTGCTTTTTCACTGGACAAACGAATTCAGCAAATCTCAGAGTGAGTTAAGAGCCACAAGAAATTCATCTGAGACCTCTGCACTGCTCACCACCACAACATCAGCCGTATAACAGTTCTTCCCAGGTCAAAGTTGTATCCTGTCATATAGGGATGGGGGGGGGGATGCTCACCCCTGTTTATCTATTCCTTTCCTGAACGCAGATGTTTATTCACTGGGTAAAAGATTTAGAGTTAGGCCATCTAACAAGCGAGACACCTGAGTTCAATTCCAGGCAGGTCAGGGCGAAACCTTGGGCAAGTTTCCTTACTCCACACGCCTAATAGTAATCCCTCCAAAACCCCAAAACAATAATAAATTGGTCATTTTCAATCTACGACTGTCTGTGGGACATTGCTGTGCGCAATTGGCTGCCGCGTTCGCCCACAGATATACAGTCAATTCACTTTACAGCGTGTTCTGTGAAGCGCTTTGGGACGTCCTCCCGACGTGAAAAGCGCTATATCAAATGCAAGGATTTTTTTTTTATCTCTTCAGCACCCAGCGCAGGTGACCGTTCTTGGTGTGTCAGTCAAGTCAGTAAGAGTCAACAGGCTATTTGACAAAACTGGCATAACAGCCAAACCAAGCCATGTACTGCCTTCGTTCTGCAGTCGCACAATAAGATAACACCAACACAACAGCACAAGGGGCACAGGTTTACAGTTTCAAAGGGAAATTTTAGGATGGATACCAGGAATTATTTCTTTATCTGTGGTGTAATTAATGCCTAAAACAGGTTGCCAAGAACAACTGGTTATAGCTAGGTCTCAACATTAAAAGTTATAGTTCAACAAATTCATCCTGCTGAAGCCTCTTTACTGCTACTACAGCATCAGCATTTTGTATGGGGGGGTAACTTTTCAAGATTTTTTTAGGGAATTGTACTGGAATTTCACACTGAAAAATCTAAATCGATTCAAATCTACTCTGATATGTTTTCACATTGTGTGGCACCAAGAAATGCCCATTGCAATCAGGGCCAATATGGAGACGCATCTGCTTGGGTTAGTCCTGGCTATAAACATGTGTCTAGTTGGGGACTCTGCTTCCTCCAAGGAATATTTAGACTTCAAGGATGATTTACCAGTTCAAATTGGTTGAAGTTGGGCAATTATAGTATCTATTTTGTACCTTTTAACCAATATGTGAAGAGTCCCATTGGAGGAATCTATGATGTGCATGGCGTCCGCGTGTGATATACTGAAACAGGATTTCCCATTAATGGACAGCAGTACATCATTCTCACACAGTCCAGCTCTACCGGCTTTACTGCGTTTCCGGACCTGCAATAAAATAAACGCAAGTTCCATCAATCTGGTCTAAAATGATTTGGAAACAATACACTAAATTGGTTGAAAGCCCTCAAATAAATAAGTGGTGCAAAATATTGCCCTTATCTTTCATTGTGAAAATTGATAGGTCACTTGCATACAGTATGCTCATTAAATAGAAATCAAGTTGAATTCACGATAAAGTCCTATATATAAAAAAATTTAAGATGGAATTATTAGTAGAGGGATTATACGAGGTTTATATAACACTTTTAAAATATTTTCTTCAGAAAATAATTCTCGACAGCTGTAAAATGACTATTTTTGATTTTGACAGATGGACGTAGACGGGTACAGGAATATACTGTATTGAAAGATCCTTATTATACATCAGAGAAGTTCCATGCCATGAACATAAGGCCAACATCAGCATTAAGTGCTGTGCGCAGCTGCGATGTCCCTAAAACCCAGAGGACTATTTTTATACCTCACGGCAGGCAGAGTGTTTGGGATTTCAACATGAATTACCGTCACTTTAAAGCCTCTTTCGTGTAATCCTGTTATCAGTCCATTCGTTTTGTGTTCTGAATGTTGTCATTTAAGAAAGGAGCCTGCACAATTTCATGGCAGTGTTGCCCACCCCCCACCACCATGCTGTTTTTAGGCAAGGTATGTGTGAAACATTGGGTGGACGGAAATGTTCTATTCAAAGCCTGTCCTATCTGAGCAAGGTTAATGCAGCTGCCCTTTAGAGGACTGGCATCTGAACCCTTAAGTTTATATCCACTCAAGCTTGCCCGGATGGATTTGTACAATGTAAGGGGGAAATATTTTTTTCAGTAAGCAATGATTTATCAACTTGATGGGATATCATATGACACAGAGCATGGCAATTTGTCATATATTCCTTTCATTCTTGCAAGGGAAATTCGGGAAGGTGATAATAATTCTAAAAAAAAACATTTGTTTTAAACAAAGTACCGAAAGTAACTGAAAACGGGGAACCCTAAGGAAAGGATTTACAAAATTAATGGACTCGGTGTATATCAGGATGTAAATTAAGATGAAATGAAATTAGACAGAACAAGGCGTTTGGAGTGGGTCGTCTTCAACCTATGCGATTGAAGTGAGGATGAATGGGTATTGGCAAAAGGAAACATGGTCCATACAACAAAATCACTCAGTAATCAATAACAGTCAAATAAAGAAATATCAGGAGTGTTAAAAAGAAAAAAAAAGCTGTTTTGTGGAATCTGAAATAAGAACAGAAATCCTAGAAAGATAGATTAAGGTTTTGGGTGTATTAAAGGTTTCTTTAAAACACACCTATATATATTAATCAGAATGATGGACACAACTCATTATTTTATTCAAGACGGGAATGTCAAGATTGATTTGAGATTTAGAAGACTGGTGGAGAAATTAGCATGCTCCTCTTGAACTGAAATTATGACTTGTTCAGGAATATTTTTGCATCTTTTTGGATATTTAGGCGGCCTGAATATTTTCGTGCTGTGGTGAACAAAAAACATTATTCTAAATAATGCAGTTGCAGATTGGTTGCATTCCTGCTATGTTCACCCATCAGAAATAGTGCGATTGTGTACGTGTTTTTCACAAGTCATGCTTCCTAGGACAAAATACATTCTTTCTGTCACTCACAATTGCCAATCATGTTAAGTATGCTTGACAACACCCACTCATTGAGTTGCCAGTCCCAGGAATGCCGGTGCGATGTGGTGGTGGTGGGTGTATCAAATGAGGGCCAGAAAACTCCAAATGGAGAGTGAGGGGGAAATCAGAGGAAGCTATTCCCAGGCCACTCTTACACATGTCCCACTGACCAGTTTGGAGGCAGAGGTGGAAACAAGCCATCGGCCAAACCATAGTCATATAGCACAAAGCAGAAAGAAAATCAGTGAGAAGGAGGAAAGGAAGTTTGAGCTGAGAACTGAGTGGGTTAATCGGTCTCTTGTTCAAGTACACATCAGACTTACATTTTTTTTGTAAATTCTTAAAATTTTATTTTTCTCTCTTTTACCATCTGAACTCTCGTCCTATACCACATATACTGCCTCCCCTAACTGAGAGAAAAGAGTGGGGACCCGTCCCTGGGGTCTCTTTCATTGTTGCCCTGTAGTCTCTGCAGTCACCTTCTTTTCAGGGTAATTGGCTCTTTAATGCTTTCTCACTCTAATGCAGAAAATCATCTGGTAGTACTTTCCTCAAATGTGCTGGTTACTAAATGTCAGATCATGGGGAGTACAGTACTCAAAATTCATTAAACTAATTTTGTGCTATCTCCATTTTATTGATAGCAATTTTCATTTTATCCTTAGAATGTTAACTTTTGCTGCCTAAGTTTGTTTATGGTTTCCCTTGCATCATTTTGTTGCTCTGGTGCATTTGGCATTCCCCAGCAGTCAGGCAATCTGCTCATAGGTCTCCGTCAGTGCCGGTGTTAAACCAGTTGGTATGCGATATGTGGAAACTGCCCAGTGTGGCTTTCTATCTAATCTTTCCTCAATCCTTGTAGGGAGATACTTCATCAGTGGCTCGCTGAATGCTTTAGCCCAAGGTCAAGAACTATTGGAAAACAGGTCAATGTCCAACCTTCTCACTCCAATAACACAATAATAATAATAATAATCCTTGCATTTGATATAGCGCTTTTCAAGTCTTCTCAAACTCTCATATAAAAAAACATGCTGGATCACTCCACTTTCTTCTTGACTAACTTTTCTGAATGTCTAAGCAATTCATCAAAAATTTTGATGTTTACTCAACTGCACATTATTCAGTTCAGGTAATTGTTAATCAATTAACTGCCAGGTGCATAGGAACTGATAGTTATTAAGAAAATAGTTCAAAATAGTTTCAGATTAATTCAGATGTTTAGATGTATATATTATATCTTGATATGATTTTTATGAAAATACATGCATTGATTACCACATGAACATAAACTGAAAATTAAATGTTTGTAGGAATAAATGTGAAATGGCATCATAAAATACTCCAAGTGTTTTGATGACTTCTGTGTGTCCTTGAACTGAGGGTGTGGGCTTGACGGGCTAAAAGGTATTTTCTCCTTATATTTGTTCTCTGTATCAAATACATGAACACATAGTCACTCTGTCCTTTTTGCAGATTTGCTGGATTGAAAGCTAAAGGCAAATCCTTGATTGCCTCAGTGACTAAAATAGTCAGTGGGTCAGTGGCAGGTGCCATTCCTTTCAGTCCACACATCCCAGTCACTGCGCATGTCTTGCACTCAACATTAACTACGTTATTTAAGGCACTAACTTATTTGAAACATGCATTGAGCATTCCCTTATGAGTACTGAAAGGTATTTATTTGTACACATGCAGCATCAGCCAAAAGTGTTTTTTTTAAGAATCAGCTTCTATTTTCATTGGCATACATCATGTTCTCTATCATATTTGTAACTTTGTTTGTTCTTTCTGGTCGTTTTTTTCCTACATGTTATGCTTGTGTGTTAAAATCTAGTTCCTTCCCTTTTACTTTTCCAAACTTTCACATTTTATGAGTGGTGATTATGTTGAATTTATGCAGAAGGAGAAGTCTAAATGGAATAACATTAACACTTTTTGATTTTGACCAAACTGTGGAGGAGAGTGAAGAATAATGAATATATTGTATATATTATAATATAAGGTACATATAAGGTACATATAAGGTATTCACCAAATATAGTTGTTATAGGAATGCTGATGATAACACAGGAATCAACTTGTAGGATATAGCCCAGGTTTCATGGTATATTTGGATTTAATTCAAGACCAGATTCCTGGCAAATATTTCCACCAAGGCTTTAGTTAAGCAGTTAATTACATGTGTATACCAGAGTAGTAAACGTAAATAGTTTAATCAGCTGAATGATTTGGCAATCTCAGCCTTCAAGTGGCCAATATACAGCATAGCCAAATACTTTACTATTTATTCAGACTATGAAAAGTGCATTGCATTTACGAGTCATTACCTGTCTGACAATCATGAGAATCTATAAAACAGGCTCAAAAAGGTGGTTGACCATTAATCAGAATATAGGTTTGCCACAACAATGATTGAATTTTATATTAATGGAAATAGAGGTTACTACAGTAATGAACAACACCCACGTGTAATATTTCATGATGTAACAAATAAATGAAATAAATATCAGAAGTGGTCCGAGATAGATACTTGTGATTCCTTCCTGTTTACTCACCTGAATGATCTACAAAAATCATCGAAGGCCTTGCTATTAGTTCGTACAGATTTTCATTGTCATTCAAAGAACACATTTTAGATTTGAATGGAGTTTGGTTAGATTTTATTCATATAATTCTTATAATAGTTGTGGAAAGAAGATTAGGGGTATTCAATCAATTTACTGAATGAATTGGCTGATCCATGTCCGAGTAGTGCAGGAGAGGATGACAATAGGCTTTAGTAACCACAGGAGCTCCTAATCCTGCCATTTCTCAGTGACCCCTGTTAGAATGTATGTGTGCATGGGCGTTTAGCACCTTTCCAGAGAGAAATTCTCCTTCAATAATATTTAAATAAAATGCTAAAGAGACAATTTGCCTCAGAGCAAACATTCTTGCTAACCACAAATGAATCAAAACTAGTGTGGACTATTGCCTCACAATTTATTTTGACAATTTCTCCCTATCTCCTCTTCTGAAATAATTGATTGACTCCTTGATTCCTGCAGCAATATAATTCCACAGGTGCATTGTACCTTGCACACTATTATTCTTCGTGCATTAACCTGAAATAACGCATATTTGTCGGCTGAGCCTGTTCTCATTAAATATACACACGTGTTCATTTCAATAGGGGTCAAAGGCTATTTTTCTCTTCTTTAGTATAGGAATGGCAAGACCAATTGAAATGCTCTTGCTGCTGGCCCAGAAGGCACCAGCTAACTCAGCAAATACAGGAATTGCAAAGGAAGTTTCTCCAAGTGTCTTTGCCAACAATCCCTGAATTGAAATTGATCATTTACATCATAGCTATTGGTGGGGCATTGCTGTGCACAAATTTTCTGCCATGTTCACCTACAAATTGCTGTCATTACAGGTTGTAGCATATCCTATGAAGAGCTTTGTGAAAGGTGCTATATCAAATGCAAGGATTTGGGTTTGCTACACCCAGTGATGTCCTTACCCAATGATCCAATAGCACATGTATCTAAACTGTCATTTGAGGTCAAGTTCTTTCTTCAGAATATTTCTTCTTTGGAATTGTGTAACTGTTAATGCTGAATGATGCACTTGCCTCTCTAAAAGTAACCCTGACAGATTAAATAAAATACTATCAGGACAAAATCATTGCAAATCGTTATTGATGTTGGTGTGCAATAATCTGGGAAAGTTTGTTTTGTCACCTTGTGGCTTATGAGCTCTACAAATTCTCACTTTATGACACCCAAGATCAAAAAGGTTCATTCTCACTTCACTTAATCCATGAGGGAAGCTTCCTCATATTAACTTTCTCCTATAATATCACAAGAAAGGTTCAGATGAAGACAGCCTTTGGCCTATTAGAAGATTTAATACAAATTAGATCAATTAGGACCGGTATAAGACCTTCTTCCAGAAGGTCTAATACCAAGCCTATCACTAAAGCATTTCTTAATTCTTAATTCCCACATTGTTTCTTAATTATCTCAGATTTCCTGGTTTTAGTCAAATTTCTTCATAATTATTCAAGTTGTTCGCCATCTCTGTGCAAATAAATATGTTCTTGCGTTTGTCCTAACTTTTCTTTTCACAACACAAAACTTTTCCTTTATGCAACACCATTTAGCGACTCTTGCCTTCTGCCATGTCGTATCCAAAAATATTTTTTCAAATATATATTCTCTAAGTTGTTAATCATTTTATTTAAATCTATAACATTCTCACTGAGTTGTTGCAATCATGGCTAAAGAGCCATAGCTTTAATTCATCATTGATCATAGCTTATCCTTCTAACCCTAAAGATCAGTCTTACTGCTCGACTCAGGTTTGTCTCTAGGGCCTAGGTTTCCATCTTATGTCGAAATATTCTTCTAGTTGTGGCCAAACCACAGGACTATATAACTTGAGTGTTACTTCTGGAGACCTGACCTCAAATACTTTTTAATGTAATCCAGGATCACTTTGCCTTGTTTATTGTTGTCTCACACTGTTTAGACATTGATAATTTTTGGTCTCTTTTAACTTTTCCTTTGGCAAGTTGTATCCCCTCCATGGAATACACATGCCTCTTTTTCTTTACTTCCTCTATGCAGTACAGTACCTTGCATTTATTTATATTGAACTTAATTCACCAGTGATCAATCCAGATATATACCTGTTAAGCACTCTGTAAAATCTTGCCTACCTTCTTTGATTTCATAATGTCCACAGTGCCATTCAACAACAACAACTTGCATTGATGTAGCACCCTTCCCGCAGAGTAGCATCTCGGAGCATTCATACAAACCAGGACTGTTTCTAATTGAATTTCTGGTAGGTGCTATGTTATCTGATCTCGGCTGGTAGTTGTGGGCACTACAGTTGGCCTCAGTATTTTTAAAGTAAGGATCAGAAAAGCAACCAAGGTACTATCGTCTGATCATAGACTCATAGAATCATAAAATGTTACAGTACAGAAGGAGGCCATTCGAGCCATCATGCCTATGCTGCCTCTTTGGGAAGAGCTACCCAATCAGTCCCACTCCCCTGCTTTTTCCCTATATCCTTTCAAGTTTTTCCTTTTAAAGTACCGATGCAATTCCCTTTTGAAAGTTGTTATCACTATCCCGTACTCCTATTAAAGGTTCCTGTGCATGTAAATCAGACCAGTCATGATTGAGTAGGCTAGGATACTGACCCCCTTCCCTACAATTTGGAAAAGTACTATAAAATTGCTGACCTGCAAGGACCTGATCTCACTGTAAGTCACTAACTTCAGGAAAGGAAAAGCAAGGGATACAATTTGGAAGAAAATAGATATTGCCAAGAATAAAAAATAATCCATATGCAGTTTAAGTACCAAGCTATACTACTGCAACATGTTGAACCCAGGTACTGCATGATACAATATAAAGTACTTGGGCTGTTTGCTTTTGTGACCTTTCTTGTACTGAAACATTCCACGTGACATGACTGTAATAACAGATGTTGATGAAATAACCTTCAGAACATTTGCCATTTGCCAGCTGACAGAAACACTACCATGGAGCTCAGTCTGAAATTGTACCTGATACATAGTCTGTGGATGATTGCACAGCATGAATGTTACAAGTACAATAGTTTAACATTGCAGTTTACTAATCATTTAATTTCAATTTACACACAGATATGTTCGACTTTGTGGCATTTTCTTTCTAGCAAAATTTTTAATGTTCCAACAACTAACAGAGGTATGCATGTAGGCAAAACTGCACTGTTAGGGGTAACACTAAACCTAGACTACGGTTTCTGTTATTCTAATCCTTAAAGACTACGGTTTCTATCATCCCAGCTGCAACCTTAGAACATGACTATTTTCCCTGCTGTCTCTAACCTTATAATAAAACTAACATTTCTGCTAACAGTAACTTGACACAAGCATAATTTGAAATATCCACAATTAAGTGCACACGTCTACAAGTTAGACATTACAACTTGTTGTTATTATTGTGTGCTAGAAATGTGTTAGCTAATTGCTTAAGTCAATTGAAGTTTGAAAAATCTGCAGATTTTGCAGATTTGGATTGAACATCTAAATCCTTAGGAGAAGGTGACATTTTATGAGCCAATGATGTAGGTTTGTTTATTAAGATTTGTAGTGATTGACATTATGGAAAATGGTTAGGTTTTTACCAGTCAGGCTTTCAATGGCTCCAGTGGCCTCCATACATTCCCAACTGACCTATACTCAATAAAAAACAAAATAAAGTCATCCAATCCATAGTGTGAGCTCTGGTGATCAGATCAAATGGTCGAAAAAAATGTCTCCAGAATATATTCAAAAACAAATTGCAATCAATCTTTGTGAAGAAAGGGGGCTGGGTATTCTAAAAGCAAACTTGATTTGGGGTTGTAATATTGTAATTGATAAATCTTTTGAAACCCTCACAGTGTACGATGTTATAAATGTCCTTGCTCTCCACACAAAGTAGCAGTTGCAGCTGCAAGTTACACTTGTTCGATCGTTTCTTTGAAGTTTTTAGGTTAGGCGTTATTCTATTCACATGATATTTTAAGATAAAGTCAATGAAACAATAAGAGTGACCGACCTGAGAAAACATTTGACCTTTCAGTGTTTGAAATGCGGGTCGTTATTGAAATGTAAAGTAAAATCAATTCAAACTGGAAGGATTCTAGTGGAGGTGGGGGGGGGGGGGGGGGGGGGGGGGGATGAAAATTTACACCGTTTGGGCACTTGGTATTTTATCCCCTATTCTGTCTTTTACAGCTCATTCTCATTCAATTGTTTGAAATAACTTTGGAATCGTTGATTTTGTGAGGATTACAGTAATTTCCTGATTTGTGCGCCGCTCCTGATTAGGAGCCTTCCCATTCAGTCGGATTTGGCTGCTTTGCATTCATTCCTACCTTGGCGACTTGGAGAGGCTTCTGTTGATCGGAGCCCCCTTGAAGTCTGAAGCCCCAGGGCGCCCCACCACCCAGGGTCATCAGAACTTCCTCACCGGCCCCCATAACTTCTGTCTTTTGCTTCAGGTAATGGACCGTTCCTCAAAGGTCTTCATCCCCTCAGTTCTCAGCATGATTCACATCGTGCTCCCCCGGCAGAGCCCTCTTCCAAACACCGTGAGGAACGTGTGAGAGAGAGCCCCTGATCTCTGGACTATTCTGCGCTGCAGCAGCAGCAGCACAGGAATTGGTGCTATCATTAGGTGTCTGGTCCGCTTTTGGTTGCGGGCCAGATCTGTGCACATGTTGCGTCAATCTCATAGGACCACTGTAGAAAGATCTAAAAGGAAACCGACAATAACCGTCTCGGTCTTAATATACCTCTTTAATCTCTTTCTAACGAGCCCGTGTTTGTTTTTTTGGGTCAGTACTAAGAACAATAATCTGGTTTCCAATCACACATGCTTCGAGCATGACATCAATACTGACAGTCTGCCTTTTGGTGGGTTTATACTCGATTTCACGGGACGATTTCGCTTCTCATAGGGGTCAAAATGTGGGTTCAAAATTCGTATGAAGGCAGTAATTTACATATTTATTCAGCAACAATACGAATTTACAATATGAAGTGACTCGCCATTATTTCCCCTTTAAATTACTGCATTACAGGATTCTCTTTGGGTTGCTCTGAATCATATGATTTATTGAAGACTGTATCCGAGGCCAGACAGTAATCCCAGCCACTCAGAAAGTGCCCACTATTGGGTGGTTTTCGTATAATTAGCTGCAAAGTGACATTTAAACAAAAAACGATTTAGACCTTTGGGCTCAGATTTATTTAAAATCAAAAACCATCATTTTGATTCATCACCGGAAACATTAGGATTGGTCCATTTCTAAGGAGTCAAAACCATATGCTTATAAGCCATTAGTCAAATACCCTGTTGTACGTGACAATCCCCAACCAGGAGGATGGCAGAAGTGGAGTGTGTTCACAGCTCATTCCTCAGTATTTCTCTATTGTTGTCGATGAAATGTGAGGCCAAATGAACCTGTCATTGTCACCAACAGACTGTGCAGCATCTTGTGGTCTGACTATACTGTACCACGTAAACTGTTTAATTTTCTCTGCGGAACTATACAGAACAGGTGGGCAATAATTCACTAAACCAGTAATCTTACATTTCATAAAATTTTACTTTCAAATTCTGCTTGAGATTGTTTATTACTTCGAATTCTGCTTGAGATTGTTTATGTTCAATGTAATCACCCTGTGGATTTGGGGATTGGTTTCTCCATTGTTTTATTTTCTGGGTTTTCCTTTCCCTCTTCATGTTTTTCACTTTCAGCAAAACTGCAAGCTTTTTCTCATCATTTCCAGGCATTTTCCCAATATTAGTATAGCTAGGACTAACCCCGTATCTTGCTTAATTTCTATCTGTTTTCAGGTTGATTAAGTATTCCAAACATACTTAAATTAACTTTTTTTAACTACTGTATTAAAATTGATTTTTCAAGAGCTCTCCAGTATTTTGGTTTCTAATTCTCCTTCATTCAAATTCAAAACAAATTAATTGCTATCATATTTGCCAACATCATTGATAAAAGTGATTTGAGATTTCATCAAGTCAAATATTAAATTTATTTGCAATCCGCCAAAGCATCATAACAATTACAATACAAATTTACATTTATACAGCACCTTTCACATCGGGAACACATCCCGAGGTCCTTAATAATCCTGGCTATGCATCCAATTTGTTAGCAGGAGAGTGGGAGAGAAAAGGATGACTGAAAACGCGGTCAAAGAGTAGGTCTTGAGGTGGACTTTGAACGTGGGAGTGACTCTGTCACTTCAAGAGAGTGGGGACAGAAAGGCTGAAAGCCCAACCGCTGCTCGTGGGCGTGGGTACGGTGGAGGACATGAAGCAGCCCAGTGCCTTCTGAGTGAAGGCAGATGCCAGGTCGGTACAGTTTGAGGAGGCTGCAGAAGTAGGATGGGGTGAGATTGTGGAGTGTCTCCATTGTTGTCTCAATGTGTACTTGTAGGTATATTCAAAAAAAACCTACATTGCTCACAGTCAATACAAGAGATGAAGGTCTCCACCCCTTCACTCCCAACAATCTCCAAATTCTCTCATCAGCCTCCCACACCCCTCCAGCCCTCCCCTAACCCACCTCTCCTCCAAGCCCCCTTCACCCCTCCCCCAGGCTCCTCATCCCCTCCCCAGGCCCCCCTCACCCCCGGCCCTCCCCCAGACCACCCTCCCCCCCCCCCCCCTCCCCCAGGCCCCACTCACCCCTCCTCCAGACCACCCTCCCCAGGCCCCCCTACCACTCTCCCCCAGGCCCCCCTCCCCCAGACCCCCCTCACCCCCCCCAGGCCCCCCCTCTCCCCCAGGCCCCCCCTCCTCCCCCAGGCCCCCCCTCTCACCCCCCCCTCCCCCCTCCCCCCCCCCCTCTCACCCCCTCCCCCCCAGGCCCTCCCTCTCACCCCCTCCCCCAGGCCCCCCTCTCACCCCCTCCCCCAGGCCCCCCTCTCACCCCCTCCCCCCCCCTCCCCCCCCCCCCCTCTCACCCCCTCCCCCCCCCCAGGCCCCCCCTCTCACCCCCTCCCCCAGGCCCCCCCCCCCTCCCCCAGGCCCGCCCCTCCCACAGGCCAAAACCCCGTCTCTCAGCTCAACAAACGGACGCAGTCAAACAACGCACGTCATAGGCCACGGCGCCTGCGCAATATCCGGGTCCCGGTGGAAGTGCGTGAGCGCGGCTGCGCGTGAAGAGGGGCCGTGACCGCCAGAGACCGGCAGCGGCGGACGTGGCAGTAACCCGAGAGCCCGAGGCTGGGAGTCGGGCTGCAGCTTCCGGTGAGTCCACCCGAAACCCCGCGCATCGGCACCGGGGGCCCTGCACCCCCCCCTCCCCGCCACCCCCACAAACCACACGGCCGCCACCCCGGGGAGCAACCAGGCCCGGCCCGGGGCCCCCCTCCAAATTCTTGCCCTCCCCTCGGGGGGGGGGTGGTGCAGGCGAAGGCTCCATTGCAAGGCCGGAGCCCAACCTGGAGCCTGACTGAGCGAGGCCTCTGTGTCTCTGTCTCGGGGCTGCCGCTCGCTGGTTGCTTTTGCTCACCAGATATTTTTTTTTGAAAAAAAAACAGTGAAAAATGCCCAGAGATCGCCATGTTTTGCTCGGAGATGTCATGTCAGCGCCTCTCCTCCTGATCGGCTGCAATAGAATTGCGATGGAAGGAAATGCAAATCACATTAATTTTTAAAATAACCTGCACCCGACGTGCATTTGTGGACTAATGAGGTTGTACACTTGAATTGACTCTACTGTAGGTTTTCAGTTTCCTTTTCTCCCTCCCCCCCTCCCTCCCTCCCTCCCCCACCACATTCACAGCATGTTGTGAAAACTGGTGTATAAAAACTGCAGTGATGGGTTTGGATGATGGTTGAATTTCATTTTCTATTTGAAGTAAATGAGGAAAATTCTTCCAAGGATGAATAGAGGGAGTATAGTTGTCCGAATCAACCCGAGTTAAGGTGAAACCTTTTCCTGTGAACTGCAAATACAGTACCGTCTACAACAACTTGCATTTATATAGTGCTTGGATGGGTATTTGAGGAGCACGAGTTTGCAGGGTTATGGGGAAAGGGCTGGGGAGTGGGACTGACATTAATTGCTCTGTTCAAAAAGCCGGCACAAACTCGATGGGCCGAATGGCCTCTTTTTGTGCTGTACAATTCTATGGTTCTAACAGTGGTTGAGTCTGTCCCTGAGCCGCGAAGAGGTGAATGAGGTGACCATAAGCACAGTCGAATAGGAAGGTCTTCAGGCATGATCTGAAAATGGGGAAGGAGGGGGTAAAGCGGAGGGATTAAGGAAGATCCAAAGTTTTGGGGTTTGATAGCTGTAGATGGTGGCGTGGAAGGGATGAGGGACAAGCAGGAAGCCAGAGTCAAAGGGGGTGGAGTGGCAAGTAAACAAGGTGTGGAGAGCCAGAGCATGAAGGGAGTAGTCACTGCTATCAAAAATACATTGGCATGTCCTACATACTAACATTGCTAACTGTTTCAATCTGTATAATGATGTGCTAAAACCAATCAATCAAATTTGAGATTTTTATTTTTAAGTAAAGATTTCCCCCCAAATGATCATAGCATTAGGGTTGCAACAGCACAGTAGCTTAAATAAAGGAAAAAAAGAGTTACCTTGCTGGACTGATTCAGTAATAACAATAAATAACAATCCTTGCATTTGATATAGCGTCTTATCATGTGTTTGAGACATCTCAAAGCACTTCACAGAATATATTGTACAGTCAATTGACTGCCTATTTTGTGGGCGAAACGCAAAAAACGTAAGTTCTATCATGAAGTGTTAACTAATTCAAAATTCTCATTAAAAAAATTAAACATGTTGAGTCACGGGCCTCCAAACAAATGGATTATTTTAGATTTGAGTCTAATACTGTAGATCTTTTCCATGATTGAGACATCTGTGAATTTTGCAATTCCTGTGAGTCTGTGATTGCAGCATAGAACTGCATAATTCTAAGAAGCAGGTGGTATGGGATACAATAAGTTTACAGAAAGCCCTGTAGTTTTTTTTAAAAAATGTTAGTATTGCAGCCTTATTGTGTTCTACTATCATGGTTTTCCAAACTGAATGCTGTATACTGTTGTCTGCCACATGAAGAAAAACAACTTCCTGAGCTCCTTGTATACTGATGCACCAAATATAGAATGCTAATATTTTGTCATGTTTAGCAATTTAAATTTTAATGCAGAGATTACATGAATGTGAATGCCTCTAAAATACTATAGCAGAGATTTGTCTTAATACGTTTAATTTCTTTGAAACCTCTGTGACGGTCTCGGTAGTCTGGTTCCTGAGGCAGGCGGGTCCGCAGTATTCTAAGCCACTGTTGATGACTGTACAGCCAACCTGAATTGACTACATATTTTGTGGGAGAAATGCAAAAAAGTTCTACAAAGAAGTGTTACTAATTCAAAATTCACATTAAAAAAAGATTAAACCTGATGAGTCATGGGCCTCCAAACAAATGGATGATTTTTGATTTGAGTCTAATAATTGAGGATGTAAGCGGGGATGTAAGCAGGGTCTCCGTGGCACTGAACTGACTCCGAGTGGACATGTTTGGCAATGGAATGTCAGAATCGAGCCAACCCTCTTGACGGTCTCGGTAGTCCGGTTCTCCAGCCAGGTGGGTCTGCAGTATTCCAAGCCACTGCTGATGATGCATCAGTAGGACTTGGAAAGGCAGACCTGTCACTGGGAGCAGGGAATCCTCCCTCTCAGCTTATGTTAACTCTGCAAGCCAAGCCCTAATGGGTAGGTGGTCCTATCTGGACAAGCAGCAGGAAACTTTGCCAGACAGTGCTATAAATGACTAGCTATTAGGTTTTAGCTGGTTAGACTCATTTTGATCAGAGTGATGAAGTGATTTTGATATCAACTAACACCCAATGAAAACATCCTTCTGATAAATTGCTCGCAATTGTATATTCTTACTATGGATTATAACAAGAGTGATTATGTGATTTTGTGGCATTACTGATTTTTCTATCGAGTACTTTTTCTTTATAACAGGGATCTGTATTTTTGTGGAAGATTTTCAATCAAATCATCCTTTAGTATTTCCCTACTCCTTGAGGTGGTTAATACTTTTTCACCAAGCGGTTGCCCTACATGTTTCAATCCTCTTAACTATTTTCTATTATTTTCTTCTACAATTGCTGGTTAATTAGTATCAAACTCAAATCAGAATCTGTGTGTACAGCATCACTTTTAAATTCAAAAGGCAGACTTCTTTCAAAGTGCAATAATATGTTTGTGTCAAAATGTAACCTTTTTAAATGGGAACCAGTAGTATTCCAATTCATATTTGATTAAAAAGCTGTTCAATGTTTCTTTCTTTGCCTCATTAAAACTTGAGTATATTTTTGAATTCACAACTCAAATTGAGGCAGGCACTGATTTGTGTACCTTGCACCTATATCAGTACATTTGTTGTTAGCCTTTATGCTAAAAACTTGGTGGGTTTCGCAGTGATTGTGCTCACAGTTCTTGTAGAATAATATAACTTCTGTTAACAGCCATGCAAAATCCTTTGTGAATACATTTTGTTACAGTAGTCACTAACTCAAATAAATTGTTTGATCATTGAGAGAGAGGTAGTGGTAGTTTGCTCGAGGGACATTGTCGAGACAGGAATGCTGAATGCTGACACGATATGGAAGGAGAAAAAATGGATCTTGAATTGCTTCACAGATGCTTCATCTATACCAGGAGTGTCAAACTCATCTATCTGCAAGGGCAATTTAAGTTAGAGCTGTTCACTTGGTGGGCTGCCCTGTAAAAATGTTACACATAATACTGTATCTGAAAATGTTTATAATGATTGTGAACTGTCATTGGCTTAATGAGAATATCACTAATCCATTGCAGAATGCACAAATTTGAATATATGTCTTATATTAAAAAGAGGAGGGTTGGTTTAAAAGAAAAATTCAAGTACAGTATGTTGTGATTTTTGATGGGCGGTCCGTCATGCTTGTTTGACACCCCTGATCTATACTTCAGTTGTGTAAATTCATGTCCTATTTATACCATTTTCTGGTACCAGCACAATATGCTTTCAGGTTGCAACTTGAGAAGGATCTGGAGGGCAGCTAACTGCTAACTTATTGAAACTTTCACCACAGTGCGAGACAGCTGCAAGCGAAACATTTTTTTCAGTTCTTTTGCTTCAGTGATGGACCATCAGTTACAAGATCTAATAATGGGTTTTAAAAAGCATTGATTTGACTTAAAATGTTCAGACAGAGTTATGAGGAGACATTACAGAAGCTAGGAATGTTTGCATTGGAGAATAGATGATAGGAGCATTCTGAGTCGTAAAGAGTACACCCAAGCTGGCCTCTTTTTCTATATGGTTAATGAGTCTCAAACTCTTTGACAGTTAGGTGCAGCAACTTTATGCCGATGGCAGTTAATATGTATTATATTTTGCTCAGGAAGTGGATTGTGTGGGCAGTTTCTAGAGGAAATTGAATATTTTTTAATATGGTAATGGCATTGGGGGAGGGGTTATGTGGGATGAGGTGTGACGATTGTAAATGGAATGATATAAAACAGATTAGAATTTCTCTTAGAAACTGCCCACATGATCTGCTCCTTCCTGAGTTCTAGATGTTAATCATCCTTTGCGTAAAGTTGTCTTTAACAGTCTTACGTATTTTTAGGAAGATTAAGTTTGAAAAGTGCAATATAAACTAGGCATTTTTGTGTAAATGTGTTACTGACTAGAAACATAGTTATAGCTAAACTGTTCCTTTAAAAGATAGAAGAAATTGCGGTTCACGTTATCATTTTGATGGCTGGGGTATCAAGCTTAAGGTCTTTTTTTTTTGTCTTATGATTTTTAGCGTGTATTAAATTATTGTTAAATGTTTGCTCTTCAGTGATGTGGATGCTGAGTATTTTCTAACATTGAAATGTTTTCTTTATGCTAATATTTTTTTGGCGGATGTCCATTTGAATTGAAAATTAATGGTGAGGATGAATTGTAGCAATATTCAGTCTTTAAGGAATACTGCAAATATATTCCATGATTGGAATCCGAAGGTAACATTGTGGAATTCCTTTTTCCCCCACACTTCCAGCCGAATGAAATTGCTGAGGCAAAACCTGTCCATTTGTAGATGTCTTTGTTCTGTACAGTGATATTAGAATTGTGCAGCCTTCACACTCTCAGGTATTCAACATTTTAACTTTGCAACTGGGTGGGGACATCTGTTGTGGATAACTTTGTTACTAACAGAAAACATTGTATCTGTCTGGGATGCTGCAGAATTTTATATTGACATACAGTATCTCACTATTGTATCAAACTTGGGACACTCATGGCCAAAGGGGGTTTTAGTTTCCTGTGTGAGATGAAGGGAAATGTTACAACACAGTAATGGACTGGTTTGAAACATTGGTTTAAAAACACAAACCGTATACTCATGCCTTATTCATTACTGTAGCTGTAACTTGTACCTGTAACTTAAAGCTGTTCTCTTATCTAACTAAATTTATAAACGTTCCTGGAAGGGAAGAGGTACTATTAGAATTTTGCAGCAGGTGCAAGGTTTTCTGCTCATAGGTTGATAATTAATTTGTGACTGAATCTGACAAACAAATGCTTTTGAGCTACAACGTCTATAGAGAAAAAAGGCAGTTTGGCAACTGAACTTTATTCTGGGATGGTGAGAAATCTTTTGCACTTTCAACTCGTGGTCTATTGGTTTATTACTGGCAGTGAAAAAGTGCACCCATCTATTTTTTCATTGAACAATAATATGAGAACTGAGGTAATTTTTAATTGTATATGGAGGTCGCCAAAATGTGGGAATGCAATACAACTCACAAAACAACTGCCAAATAGACTTTAATGGAAAGATTTTACTACTAGTTGTTTAGATGTTTTTCAGTATATAAATATACTGTATATAAATATTCTGAAAAAGAGTAAGTGTCTTTTCCCTAGTTAAATTGACACTACAGGAGAGTTTATTGTAATTATAAACCTTATCCTGGTTGTTTTTGTAGTTGTTAATCCAGCACAATTGTATCAATAGCAGTCACTTAAGTAATTGATAGTATTTGTCATGTCTGAAATTCAAATTCTGAATCTGAAATTATTTACATTGATTAAGTGAAAAATATAATCTTTATACAGTATGTCATTTGTCTTGCTGTGTAATTTAAAATTATTTTCAAAATATTGAATGTTATTTCTTGATGCTGTATATTTCAGATCACAATTAGTGACAAGCAAATTGAACCATTTGAAATTAAAAGCTGAAAATAATGAAGAGTATTTGTAACTGAAAATAAATTGTTGCATTAGAAGATGTTTTCTTTATGCTAATGAATTTTTGGAGGATGTCCGTTTGAAGGATATCGATGGACCTAAAGAACACACATTATTTGTGGAGGAAAGAATGTAACCTACATTGATTGTAGTTTCTTTCTCTTCCCTCTTCCTCTTTCCATTAGTGTTATATTTATCTTAAGTGCCAATGAGAAAATCATAACCAAAGCTATGTAACCATTGATTTGGCCAAAAGGGATTTTGAGATTTGTTTTTCTAGGCTGATTTTAATCTTTATTCTGAGTTGTAAGACATTAAATTAGTCAAACATATTTGATGTTCTAAATGTTGAGTAGTGTCAAGATTGGTTGTAGATATTGTCAGAACCCTTGATTGATAGAATTGTTTCCATATAATCTCTGGCAGAATTTTGTGGCTGTAGATATGTCTGGTTTCGTATGAACTTCTACGTTCTGCTCTATTCCACCGCCTTGCACCCTCCTCCCCCACCTTCAGGTCACGTCTGAAGTCATTCCTCTTCAATCATGCATGTGGGACTGCATGAGGGATGCTATATAAATGCAAGTTGTTATTGCTGCTCATTGATTAGCAGTTGTGATAAAAACATCATGACAAAAAACAGTACTAGTTGTATTATTGCTATGGAGTGTTTGAATGTCCATTAATGGCTTGTCTGGTTGTGGAAAATGGCAGAACTCAGCACTCTTCCCTCTTCCTTTACTATCCAGTGCAAGTGAGCAAGATAGTGTTGGAGCAATTGGAAGCTCTTTTATTAAAACTGCAAGAACTTTAGGTTTAATAGAACTTTCAGTCCTATATATTTTTCTTTTCCCCATCCTGTGAGAATGCCTGACTGCAAAATGGTGGCTACCTACAGTAGCATAGTTGAGTTATGTGTCAGGGGGACTATATGTATTCCTAGCCTTTTACTCCATGGAGCAGCATGCTATCTGAAAGAAGCCTCATGTCAGGAACACATTAGAATTATGGTTGTCGACAAAACATTAGCGAGTAACTGACCTAGTTGTTAGGGTAACAAAGAGGATAGTAATACAGAATCTGATGCTATGTGGCATCATGTAACTGATACTTTAGTTTTATCGATAATATATCATTGTGAAGGATTAATTTAGCTTTTGATAAATAATTGGGATCTTTTGCAGTGTATGTCAAGGTTTTTTTGAGAACATTAAAATGAACTCTGGACAACTTGCAGTATTGCAATTGCTGCAATATTTTAAGCTAATCATTCAATCAGTGCAATACTGCAATTCCAGTTGGATCTGTTCCCTTTATAATCTTTATTTTTCAGTGAGCCCTATTTTGAATATAGAATGGCAAAATATGTTTAATTAAACAGTTGTGTTTTTATATTTGAGAAGTATGAAATACATAGGGCCAAGGTCTATCAACAGAAAGTTAAATAGCAAATGACATGGTTGAGACCAATCTTGTAGTTCCATAGTTAGGTGAAGTCAAGACGTTAAAGCACAACATTATTAAAGCCTGCCGTATTGCTGCCTGAATGTTCCTATTAATCAGAGTTGTTCTTTACTCGAGTGCTTGTATGTGGGCAACATTCACTCTCCAGTATTTGCTACAATTGCCAGCTGTCTGAATTCCAGCCAGTTGCCTGTATCCGTTAGCGATGTTACAAGTTAATTCTTGCTCTGTGTCTTTTCAGAAACAAAATTGCAAATCATGTGTTTCAAAATCATCAATATTTTGACCTTTGGTAAATGCACATGTAAAGAGATTCTATGATCTTATTTTTGAAAGGCGATTGGATTAATTGTTGCACTCAACAGTTATTGGGTTTTCTGTCTTCTGTAAACTTATTGGAGATTTCTGACAGGGAGTTTGAGTGAATGATGATCTTGTCATAACTTTGATCTGCCCAGATGGAGTTTCTCCATTGTTTAATGGTATGAGACGCCCCAGTTAGAAGCAAACCAGAGCCTTGTGAAATTCCAAGTATGTGACAGGCTGGTCTGCCTAGCTATATCTAGCTAATTAGAGATTTACTTTTATTTTTTAACAGGATTGTTTATATGCACAATTCTCAAAAAAAAACATTCTAAGTTAATTGATTGCATTTCGAAATGAAACAAGGAAAAATTGAGATTGCTGTTTTTATCTTCTGAATAGTGGAAATTCACTATAAAATAATCTGGTATTAGATTAGGCTTTCCAGCAACTAATCATCTTTAGTTATGGAATATAACTGAATCCAGCCTTATTCTCCATCAAAATAGGCGAACAAACCATACATTGTATGCTAGTGTCTGATTCAGTAGTCGTCTGCACTGTTGACAATGGCTGCAATTGTGTTGGCTCAGTATCTGCAGAATGGGCACTAACTGTGGCATTTGTTACATTAGCAAAGATTATTTAATATAGAACACCTGATTGTTGATTACCTTAATGTAGATATGTTTTATGGAAATGATCCATTTTTAAGAGGAACCCTGGTTCAAACCTATCATTGTGCATAACTATGCCAGAAGTTTAATTGGATAGATTTATATTCTGATGCAACAACTGGGTTGACACTTTGAGTCATTACTGGGGGAACTGCATTGCTGGAGATACTGACTTTCAGGTGAATCATTAAATTTAGGTCAACAACAACAACAAAATGACATTTGTATTGCGCCTTTCATGTCGGTAGGACCCGAGCTGGGGGTCAGGATAGGGGAGGGTGGAGGGCAGGGGCAGAAGGAGGATGACCGAAGGCACAGTGGAAGAGGAGGGTTGAAGAGGCGGGCCTTGAAGGAGGCAAGAGAGGGGGAGTTCCAGAGGGTGGAGGCAGAGTGGTAGAAGGCCTGTTCGATAGGTTTTAAAACTGTTGGAAACAGACTGTACAAATAAAGACTCAAAATCTCTATTTAAAAAAATCAATATTATCTTGTCATTCAATCCCATTCTTGCTCTAAATCTGTATTTGAAAGATAAATGGTTTACCAGAGTTGAAACTTCGAGTAAGAGATGCATAAGCAACAGAGATAAATCTTGGGTACAGAAATGCAGATATGACTAAAATCAATGTGAATGACCATGCTGGTTTTTTTTTGACACCGATGGTTCCTAGTATTGAAAGTTATTAATCCACATATCCAAATAAATCATTAATGGTCCTAAATTAATTACAAAAATGATAGGGTATTATATAATTGGAAATAATCTTTTTACTATCAGTTAGCATATGTATCGTACCAAAATAGAATTCTATCAGATGTGTCGCTTAAGTGTTTGCCTTCTTCCTTTACATATAATTATCTTTCAGTACTCTTGAGGGCATTGCTTTATGCCTTGGTCTAAGTTTATACCAATACAGTTTTAACTTGACGAAGTGCTGACATTTTCTTCCTTTGACTTAAATGTTGAATATCTTGTATTGGATTATTGTTAAGATATTATTCAGCCACAAAATACACAGTGAGTCTGCTTTACATTATGGATTGTAAGGTTCTGTGAAGTGCTTTGAGACGTATCAATGACGTGATAAGGTGCTATATGAAATGCAAGGATTATTGTTGTAACATACATTGAGAAAGAATAGTAATAATTTGACAATTTTCTGTTTCAGTTTCAGGTAGGTGGAGTTTGGGGATGAACTTACCCAAATAAAGATGAATCAGCAAGATCGCATGGCATCATCTTATGGACCACCTCAATCTGGTTACCAAGGGTACCAACAGATGGGCTATAACAGTCCACATATGGCAGGTGTTCCACCTTCTCAATATGGACCATACAATGGGCCTGTCCAAGGCTACCAACAAGCTGCTCCAGCACAAGGTATATATTTTATACAAGGTTTATAGGCTTTTCAACAATGGACGAGAGAGTGAATTTTGCTTACATGTGGATCTGTTAATGTTGGATAAGATTAAACAGCCAACTCTTCACAAACAAAAAAAGTGTTTTAATTGTTTTACATGTTAACATAAGGGTGCATGTGTGGACCTCAGTTTTTCATAAATAAACTACCAACAGCATAATGTGGATCTGACAGTGCTGTTCAGCCATTGGATTGATTTGGTGCCTGTAGTGCAACAACCAAAAGTAAAACTTCTAATGTAGTGTTATTTACTAATGTAGTGTTTTTACTCATGCCCAGTAGGATCTGGATTGAGATTGTCCAAATTAATTAAGGCTCTTAAAGATGGTGCAGAGAGATTTTAATTCCAAAATATGAAAAGATTTGGGCCTAGGTTCCAGAATGTGACCCTTAATTTTTTCATTCAGATTCTATTTTCAGATTGAATCAGGCATTCAGGAAATACTTGACTGGCAATTACTGAATTTCAGTCTTTGAAGTAACAATTTGCTTTGGCTGGAAGCATTCCAGGTTATGTTGAACAATATGATAGATTTGTGTTCCCAAGTGTATGCTACAATGATATGAGCATCTCACTTGTGTCTTGAAGCCATGCCTATTTAGTTTCTGATCTGCAGTATGTTGTAGTTGGATAGTGAAAGCAAAGGGAAAACTGGAGGGAATTGTCCTGGTTCTTATGGTTGGTGCAAAATGGCTTTATCAGAGGCCTGGAGGCAGATTACCTACTGTCCCACACCTGGAAATGGAATAGGATGGGAGAAAGAAAATATGAAAAAAACTCTTACTTCCAAACACTTCTGTGGTACAAATGTATCTTTCTACATTAATTATGAAGCATTGTTAAACATTCTCGGTTTCCAAACATATAGCTGCTTGTTATAAAACATTCTGGTATAAAGTTGAATTGATTTCTGTTGTAAACATCTGTTTGGAACTTTGAGTCTTGAGAATCAACGTATAACCTAACTGCACAATTATCACTGAATTACATTTCTCTTTTTTGTTTTACTGCCTCCCCCCATAGATAAAGAATTCTAAACCATTCTTTTAAGGTTTTCCTGACAAGAGGACTATTCATATGCCTGACACCGAAAACTTTTTGGATAATGATTATCCTTGCATTTGATACAGCACATTATCACATTGCCGTCAAGTCTCAAAGTACTTCACTCTAATATGTATTGATTGTATATTTGTAGGCAAATGCAATAGAGAATTCGAGCACAGCAAAGTATCACAAACAGGCATGAAGTGAAAGTTCAATTTTATCTGGGAAGTAGTTGTCCACAACACTGGGAGGAACTCACTTCACTTTTAGATTAGTGCCATTAAATCTTTAATATTCATGTGAACAGTTTAATGTTTAATCTGAAGGATAGCACATCTGCAGCATTATACTGGAATATCAGCCTAGAGTGACTATGAGCTCAAAGTCTTGAACACAGAAACTTCTGACTCAGAGGCGCGGGTGCTAACAATCGAACCAGGCTGACACCTGTTGCTGACACTGATATCCCCTATTGCTGACACTAATATTCCTTATTGCTAACACTGATATACCATATTGCTGGAATTCCATTACAGATATGCAAATCGACTATTTTGGCTGCTTAAATTCTTAATTTGTAATGTGTGGCACAAAACTGACATAATTGAATAACTAGGCTGTTTGAAATCTGATCTAAGCCAATACTAGAGAAACATCAAGAAGTACTTCCAGGAAAGAATAACAAATCAGGTTTTAGACAACCAGTAAATACATTCAGTACGTTTCAAAACAATTTAATTTCTTAAATGCCTTTGAATATTAAAGGGTTAAGCATGTCATATTTGCTTTTTATTTTCCTGCTTCCATGATTTAACACTGAATTCAAACTTGTTTTAATTCAAGTTTAAATTCATTTAATTAATCCTGGACGAGAGCTAATTTTCTTCAGTTGAACGTCAACAAGACCGAGGCTCTCCTGATTGGCTCCCGTCAACACCTCAGGCACTGACAGCATCACCATCCTTGGATGGTTCCACCTTACTAAGCCATTCCAGATCCTTGGCATCTTGTTTGACCCTCAACTATCCTCTCTACCCCACATCTGTGCCATGACCCACTCTGCCTTCCCCAACCTCCGCAACATCGCCCGTCTCCTCTACTGACTCTCACCGCAGGCAGTCAAAACCCTCAAACTCGCTTTCATTACATCGAGCCTTGACTCTGCAGACTCCTTGCTTGTCAGCCTCCCCAACAACTCCCTCCATAGGCTGCAGATCATCCAGAAGTCTGCAGCCCATATCCTCTCCCGCAACAAGCTCCATGACCCTATCACCCCCATCCTCACCTGACTCCACTGGCTTCCCATCACACAGAGGATGCTGTTCAAGATCCTGATCCTCACCTTCAAAGCCCTCCAAAGCCTAGCTCTATCCTACCTCTGCGACTTCCTAACCCCCTCCATTCAGCAGGCCCTGGTCTGCTTCACGTCCCCCACCTTGCTCACCCTACCATTGGCGGACGGGCCTTCTGCCACTCTGCCCCCAGCCTCTGGAACTCCATCCCGCAGTCCCTCCGCCTCGCCCCCTGCCTGGCCTCCTTCAAGACCCATGTCAAGACGCCCCTCTTCGACTGTGCTTTCGATCACCCTGCTTAGCTCCCCCTACCCTCCACCTTCCCCGATCCCAATCCCCAGCTCGGGTCCGAAACTCTGTCTGTCCAGCGCCTTGGGACGTCCTCCTGACGTGAAAGGCGCTATACAAATGTAATTTTGTTGTTGCTGCTGGTTTATTTTAAAAAGGCATTAATATTTCCTGTAATCTAATTCAACCCATTTTAGAAAAATACTGGGTCAGATCAGAAAGGCTTGAAGAAAATTCATCCCCTGTGTTTTAATGAGTAATGCTAAAGTAATGAGTTTTCCTTTTAGAGCTAAGAAATGCGTAGATGTCAAATTAAAGACTGCATAAACTAATTGCATTTCATCTGTTTATATTTTCTCTAAAATTGTATTTATTTTATAGGCATAGTTGATCTTAATCCAAGAAGAACATTTGCTAAGGCTACAGCTTTTTTCTTCTAGGTTGCCCTTCCTATCAAAACTATTCAGGTGTTTTCTCTAAGGGATCTCCTATACCTCTCACTGACTCTGCTTCTGTTGCACCTTCCTACTTAGGTAAACCCTCTTCTTTGTGTTTGTGCATAATACTTAAATAATGTAAAGTCAAGTCAACCTTAATTCATCTCTGACATTAAAAATTGAACATGGAAAATTGTCATAAGTGACAATTGCTGCTGAGATACACATTATCTAATATAAAATGTACTACAGTATTCTGTGCTGTCATTGGTAATGTTGCTCCACAGTCTCAATAGTGGCCAGTTTGAATCTCAGTCTTGAATGATTGAAACAAGTAGAAGTTTCCCCAGCAGGGAAATATTCTAGAATAAGTAATAAAATTAAATAAACTCAGTGTATTGAGTTTGAGGTGTTTAATTTGGTCAAGAGTTATCATTACCTGTTTCTTACCTGCCCCCATTCACCTCGGCAACTACTTCAACAGAGGCTCAGTTATAAATTTGCACTGAAAGCTATAAAGTGATCTTCAGCAGTGCATTTCTGGAAATCCAAGCCATTATTTAATCACTTACTGGTCCATACAGTGTTCTGAAATCGACTGAAACTGCAGCTCAAAAATGTCAGATGTTCCTGTTTTAATTTTGAGGCAGAAGTTAATATTTTATTTCCCTTTTTTTTTCTAGGGGAAGAGAATATATTTTTAAACTTTTGGCGATGCTATTTTGTTTCAAATGCACAGCTTGATTGATAAGTTTGATTGTTCACATTCGGCACAATGGTACAGCTCCATGTTAAGTGAAATATTTACCCCACATGCTTGGGATTTATTTTTAGTAACCATCAGCTGAATCTTGTGTTATTATCACAGTCTGTATACAGAATGTAGCAAACTGATTTTTTCTTACCCCGATGCGGTAACCGTAACTTTAAAGAAAAATCTATATTTCTCTTTAACTTTTCTTCCTCGCTCTCATAAACTAACAAACAAAAAGTCAGTCCAAAGCCCTTATACAGTAGTGGAAGATTTATTTTTCTTTTATTAAACTTGATAAATTCTGAGACCATCTTGAGATTCTTGGAGGGGAGGTGTCCAATTCAGCTCTTGCAGTTGGAGTTGATCCTTGACCCAGGGTGCTTTTGCAGTTCTGATATTTTAAATGCCAATTCATCTACTCTTCTTATTCCCCTCCTCCAATCCACAATGTGATAAGAGCTTGCTGGTTAAGTTTATAAGACTGAAGTGTGAATAAAAATGCTTTTGGAGATCTTCCACTGGATTGTGTGTTGAACAGGATTTTTAGTGAGTGCGTGAAACTGTACAGTATGAGCCACTGCAGAATGCAGTATGTTGGAATGTCCTGTCTGCTACTGAAAATATTATATTGGGGAGTAATCTTGATTTTTATGCCTTTCCATTAGTATAACCTGTGAACTAGATATAACTTCAAGTGGGCATTTTGTGGAATAGTTGGTTTCTAAAACTACCCCCCAGCCTTAAGAACTTTTGACTTGCAGATTTGAAAGCTATCTGACCACTTTCAATCCTGCTCCACCTGATCTCAGTAATTTACACGTCAACACTATGTTGTGGCATAGAACTAACAAGAGAAGTGACAAAGGTTATGATAATGCACTTTGGAACTCCAGTAGTAAACCAGCCAACCCTTCGCTGGACTTCTTTTTTTTTTAAAAAAAAAAACATTAGGGACTGTAGGTTGTTAGCCAGTAAACACATTGATGTTAAAATTGTTTTTGCTTGTCATAAGGATATATTTTAATTTTTTTTTGATAGATAATATGCAGATTGCACCCAATACTGATATATAATCTTGTGTAAACCAAATAAGGCTCTGCATTGATAGGTAAACTATATGTTTTAAGACTTCACTGGTTTTCTATAATTCCAATCTAGTTTTTATTTGATATTCCAGGTCCTTTAAGGCCACCGTCAACATCAGGAGCACCCCCAACTTCATTACCTCCTCCTACGACTGCACAACAGCCTGTTTATAACCAGTATGGGCAGGGAGATATACATAATGGGCCTGCAGTGCCTAATCAGATGCAAAGGTGTGTAACTGTTTGTACCTAATAAATAGACTACAGAAATGTTCTGAAATATTACACAATACTCAGCAGTTCATCTGTGTTGAAAATTTTTTCTTGAACTTTGCACTTGTCTGATTTTGTTTCGCCCACAAAATACACAGTCTATACTATATTCTTTGAAGCGCTTTGAGACATCTTAACAAGGACCACCATGCGCTAAATCAAATGCAAAGATTATTAAACTCTAAGGAATTATATAAAGTAATTGTAACCTTTTGAAAAAGAGTCTTGATTAGTGAGCCATCCATTTAAATGAAACAACTTAAAAGGTGACTGTAGAAAGAAAGTTAAATTCTATGATTCTATAAAACAATCATAAGTGTGATTTATTGATGTTTTAGAGATTTATGGAAGGTTTTAACTATCACGTAAGAATTTTTGCAGGAGCCAACTCTTGAAATCCACGCATCTAACTATTAAAATCTTTCAACAGGCCTCCATTATCTCAGCCGTACATGCCAGCTACTGTACCTCCTCAGCCTGGTAGTCAGCCTGCATCATACCAACCTTATGCAATACCTTTCAGTAACGCTCAGCAATTATCAAATCAGATGGCAGGAATGCAGATCAGTGGTCCTGCTTCTAGACCACCACCTCCTGTAGGTCAAATATATGGTAAGGAATCCAACTGAACAGCTTGATGCTTTCATGGGAGAAGGATAAGAGTTTATTCTCGAAAGGATGAGATCAAATGGGCCAATGTATTATTCTGCTCTATGCTATTTCCTGATTTCTGCTTCCATTAATGTGTGACTATACAGCTTTCTTTTATTTACAGGCCCACCGACGTCCCATCCTCAAACTACAGGAAATTTGCAACCTACAGGAGTGCCAGCATACACACAATATTCTAATCCAATGCAGAGTATTCCTACAAATGTATTGCAGGGCATTGGTCCTCCTCAGCATCCTTTTCCTGGACAACCTGCCCAACATCTTGCTGCTCCCCCAGGATCTACTCTTACTTCTCCTCCTACATCTTCTGGTCCGACTAGCGGGAATCTTCCTCCCCCACCTGGAGCACAAAGATCCCAAGTCATGCATGGACCACCACAAGGACAGCCCCCTCCTACAGGATTTGTTCCAACCCAGCATAACCACATATCACCTACTGTTACTCCAGCTGGAATGCCTGGGGTAATGCCTGGCCCACCAATGCAAGGGTTTCAAGTACATCCAACTCAGCCTGCTCCGGGATTTGTACCTCAACAGAATGGTATGTTTTACATTTAATCTCCTAGAACTATCATTTTAAGTATTGATGAAGAATTCATGCTCTTTAAGGTACCGCTTCCCTTAAAAGTAAGATGCAATACTTTGCAGACTTTGTTATAAATGTTATAACCGTAACATTGCCTTACAAAGAATCTGCAGCACTGAAGTGTAAATGGGTTTTGGAAATAATAAAATGCTGAAACACTTCCAATAACAATAAAATTACTTTGGAAAATGAGAATAATTAATCGTTTTTGATCGTCAAAAGAAATTTGGTCACCCTGTCTAATCTACATGGGGATGGGTTCTTTAGGTGCAGTATCCTGATTATTAAAGTGACTTCACATGTGTTTGCTGCATTTTAGGTTTGAAAATGAGCCTTGTATACAAATCTTTCTCATTAACTCTTTTCAGGTTCTTTTGGACAAATGAGGGGGCCACAGCCAAACTATGCTGCACCTTACACTGGAACAGCTACGTACAATAGTCAGCCTCAACCACAGCAAAAACGCCTGGACCCAGACAGCATTCCAAGTCCTGTAAGTAGAAAACTGCCTTCTTAACTGTAGTAAATAGCTGCTATTAACTCTGTTTGAAAGCTTCTCAGTTAACACTTGTTCTAACCTCTTTTAGTTCGGCGGCTGTGCTTGCAGCCACTGGACCTTTGGAACTCTCTCCCTCAACCCCGCACCTTGCCCCCTCCTTCCCCACTTTCAAATCACGCCTGAAGACCTTCTTCTTTGACTGTCTAGGGTCACCTCCTTCTCCCTCTCCCCCCATCCTAGCCTCAAACTCCACAACTGTTGAGCGCTCCTACGTCCTACCCATGTGAAGGTGGCTATGTTAATCTAAGTTGTTGTTTTTGACCAAAACCAAAGTCCCAGCGCAGCTAATGCAGATTTATATAGCAGAATATCATCACGTGGCGTTTGGTTTCAGTATTCTTTAAAGAATAGCGGCTTTTAAGGAGTAAGCCCGGGATAGATGTAAAAATGTATGCATTTGTTGCAGCTGTACAAAATACGATTTCATTCATATCAATAACATGGAGTTGTAGTCTTTAATTATCTGTCTTTGTATGAAGTGGTAGCAGTAAATGTTCCCGCACATTACAACAAAGACAAATTTGTGACTTGCTTATAAAAAAGTTTGCTTAAATGTAGTTGACCAGCAGTATAAATTGCAGTAAGTTGTGGGAGAATATGTATTTGTTTGTACATTTTCTAAAGTAGTTTTGATATTTAACATTCACAGAAATGTTTTAAGGAGTCACTTGGTATTTCATTGACAAGAACATGATGTTTGTATTCCAGCAGGATGAGATCAAATAGATAAAGGGTTGTTTTCATCCAAACCTCATGTGGTATGATAGAACCTTATGAAAGACCTACTTCAAATGCTTTTTTTCTAGATGGGAAGAATTGTGTGTTTTGGAGAGGGGAAGAGAGAAGAAAGATTCTTTGATTGCCTTTTTTAATGTATAAGATTGCATGTTTCTTCATCTTCTAAAACCTTATTCTCAAATGATAACCTGAGTGGTTTTTGGTATCCATACTGGGACGCCATTCTGTGCCAAAAACTTCTCAATCCAATATAGAGGAACAGCTTTCTGTGGCACGGACTTCAGTTGTAGAGTACGCCATGGCTTGGACAGTTCAGACTTCCTGGGTGATGAGAACCTCAGGCAAGGGGAAAAGGATGGAGATGAGAGGCTAAACTGGGGATTAAACATTGTGTCAAATATGTTTCAGTGAAGGCTTAATAATAATAACAATAATCAACATTATATTCACATCAGGAAGACACCCCAAAGATATTAACTGGATATGCTGTAAAGTGGAGTGACTGTGTGCAATCAATATACTGCATGAAGTAACTTATTTCAATGTACTTCATAGATTTTTGAAATAGCATGAAAGTAGAAAGTCAAACTGAAAAAAATCAAACAAGACTATGACTCAGTATAACCAAACAAAATGTTTGCATAATTTTCACTCTGTTTGGATAGTTAAGTTTTAGTACTCTGTGATAAAGCCACTGTAGTGTGACACTGTAAAGATGTGACTGAAAAGTAGTCTGTAGCATGCCAAGGGAGCTGCACATCATTTTGAAGGTATCTCATTTAATATGCATATGATACTAATAGCACCCTTATTCAAATTAGCAGATAATCAGATAACTGAATAACTCAAGTTGCATGTGCGATGATGTATGTGTAAACGTATGTCAAAGGACTTGCTGATGTGGCACCATTAGTACAGGAAGGTAGAAGTAACAATTGTTACTCTTCTGTTTCTCTTCTCTTCTGTTTTGCTGCTCATTTGTGCCCTTTTAAGCAACTTAATGAACTGCCACCTCAACAGAAAACAAGACATAGAATAGACCCTGATGCAATTCCTAGTCCAGTAAGTCTTTGTGTGTGTGTGTGTGTGTGTGTGTGTGTGTATGCTGCTTCCTTCTACATTGCTTCATTTTGCTTTGTATCATGGATGCTTGCATTTTACTTCCAAAAGCTTCTTAACATACATATTGCAAGATCACAACATTTCTTTTAGTCTATTGCATCTTACTTGATCTAACCTATTTTACTTTGTATAACCTAGCCTACAATACAACATTTTATGTAAGATGGAATTATATAGAATCATATTATTGCTCCATGTGATTTGATTAGTGTAAAACTTGGTGGTTCCATTGTTCACAATAATCCATTTTAAAAAAGAGATAAAGAGATACATGATTTTATAACCTTGGCTAACTTGGTACAGTGCTGCTCTACAGACAAGTGGTTAAAAACTTTGATAGCTTAATGTTAATTATACATGAATATTTTGTGGCATTACCTTTTTAATTTGTAACACAGAATAACATTTGTAAGAGGCTGGCTTTCTTTCTAATTGCACCCACATCAGATATTCCTATTTTTCAAGGAATGCAAATCATTCAAGCTCTTTAACGTTCATATGATTTCCCAAACGTAGTCTTGGGGGTCAGCTCCCGTCTTGTGATTTTTGTTTCTTAAACGGTTGTAGAAGACTCCACATTAGTCTCCTGATTGTCACTATGTTTTCTCTCTTATATTACTAAGACATGCATTCTTAAACTTTATGTTGTAAGGCAAGATATTTCACAATGAGGAGCGGTTATTATGAAAAACGTTAAGTAAGTTTGTTGGATCTATAAGAAGTTTGTAATTGCATTGCTGTATTCAAGATACAAACGTGATGGCTCAGCTTATTGGAGACAATGGAACAATTAATTTATATTCCGGTCTTCTATTTGTGAAAGATCTGAATAGTGTTAAATGAAGAATCTACATTTGAAGTTCGGAGGGAGCAACATTTTGAAAACAGATGAAATCAGCGTTGGCAGATGTATCTCATTGGTTAGATTAACGTGGTCCCAATAATGATGCATATTTACTTTATTTACAGTAGAAAACTGTTTTACAGATGTTTTATATCTGCTATATATAATGTATTGTGGTTGCATTTTGAGACTAAAATAAGTGACTGTAGCTTTAATGATGGATGCCATTGAATGATGGTTTAAAATGCTTTTCTTACGTTCTATGACAGATCCAGGTGATTGAAGATGATAAAGCAAATCGAGGATCTGAACCATTTACTACTGGTGTAAGAGGACAAGTTCCGCCACTTGTTACCACTGACTTTGTAGTGAAAGATCAAGGTATAGCGCCAGCTCATTCATTTTTTAAAAAAAACACATGTTGGTTCTGTGTTAAAACTGCTCAAACTGCTACAACTCAACTGTAAAGATAATTTGAATCAAACAACTTGATTTTCTGCAATAGTTTTGCACTTTTGTACCTCTTGATTACCTTTACAAATGACCTTTTATGTCAAGCTTGCTGTATACATTTCTCCTAAATCTTTGGAAAGTTGGCCAGTAAGGGGACTTAAAGATATATTTTCTGAAAAATATAGATTGTTATAAAAGCTGTGTTATTCTATGACAATGCTGTGACTGTTAGCAGTGCAGTTAATAGAAACGATGCATAAACTTTCTTGCTAAATTTAACTGCTTTAGCGTGCTGTGTAAATTATTTGTTCAGGGATGTACTAATTGTTTTATTTGAATTTCTTGAAGGGAACGCAAGTCCACGATTTGTTCGATGTACAGCTTATAATATCCCTTGCACCTCAGATATGGCCAAACAGTCCCAAGTTCCTCTCACTACTATTTTTAAACCACTCGCTACATTGCCAGTTGATGAGGTAATTTGCATTATAATCTTTGACTTTTCTAATGTTCAAACTTTATTTACTTTCTGTTAAGTAGAAGGAAAAAGCAGTAAAGAAAGTTAATTTAAAATTATAAAGTATTCTGAATGCATGTCACACAAAACACTATAATCTATAATAGTTTTAATGGCAATACCATTTACCTGAGGCAGTGAAAACTGACCTGGAATTCCACTCCTGACACCAACTGGAGGAGGTAGTTTGAGGAGAAGTGTAATTTGCGCCCGCACAAGATTTGCTTAGCTGGTGTGAATTTCACAGGATTCCATCCCCTGTGGTTTATTTAAGCTCTCCATAGGGTGGTCCACGGACCTTAAACAGACTGTTAATGTTGTTAAAGAGACGTTTCACTCCCTGCATTACAAATGCTAAATAGCTGTCCATATTTGCTCTTAGGGATGTGCCCTTACATCGTTGTGAATATGTTCTAGTGCTTCATAGTCACTATAAAGCACTAGAACATTACCTTTTGAATTTCTTCATACAACTTATTTCCAAAGGAAATGCAGGAAGTGGAGCATTAGTTTTGTATCAAGAGAATCTTAGCGTTTAATGCATAATAGACTGTGGAATCTATCATTTAATTTTGTCCACAATCTCAATGATTGATGGTTCAGATTTGTTTAGTGCAGCTGTTCAGATAAATCCTGCTGCTCAATATGAAACCAGACTTCACACATTTTAAATTCCTGGATAGTGGGCATCTGCGAGGCAGAGTTGATGCCATTAGCACGGATTCCATTTTTACCCGTTGGATATTTTTGGCCTGTTCCAACCCCTTTTGATGTTTCCATGGAAACACAAATTAGTTTCTTAAAAGGAAAATCAGCAATAACTGCTGTACGATCCTTCAGTCTATTACTTAATAATGGCTTTATTTATTTTTGTTTATGAGGTTTCCACCATGGCTCAACGTTGAGTTGTGCAGTTAAAATCATTCAATAAAATATTTTGCTCCTGGTTCTAATATCACATTACGATTAATCGCACCTCTTCCTAATAGGGTCACAGGTGGGCAGGCAAGAACTGTTTTTAATCTTGCTACCATTATAGTTTTGGAAGTTGACATATTCATCTCTGCTGTTCATCTTATATTTGCATTTTCCTTCCTCCGAATCCCAGCAAAACTGCACCATTTGCTTGTTGTGTAGATTAAAGCATGTGTTTCGATATCCAGTGCCTTGGGACATTCTTCTGACGTGAAAGACACTATATAAATGTAATTAAAAAAAATATTTTGTGTTAATATAAAATACTGCACTTTTTTGTCTTCTCGTCACAGACTCCCCCATATGTTGTAGATCATGGCGAGACTGGTCCAGTGAGGTGTAACCGATGTAAGGCCTACATGTGCCCTTTTATGCAATATATTGAAGGTGGCCGTAGGTTCCAATGTGGATTCTGCAGTTGTGTCACTGAAGGTAACACTTTTTAAAGATATGCCTCACTGTAATTCTCTTATTTCTTGTTGAAGTCCACAAGCAGGACAGGCAACTTTACAAACCTCTTAAAGGCAAAGAGTTGTACATCCCTTTACTTAACTTCTCCAGAGGTACATATCTTGGAAACTTAAAGCAGGATAATATCAAAAGCATTTGAATTTTTTTTATATGTAAAGATGCATGGCAAATAACTGCACATGCCTAAATTATTTTCCTTTTGTGTTTTGGTTTGGCTCAAATGTAACTCCAATGCTTTTTCTCCTAGTACCATCTCACTATTTCCAACATTTGGATCACACTGGCAAAAGAGTGGACTATTATGATCGTCCAGAACTGTCACTTGGTTCCTATGAGTTTCTGGCAACTGTAGACTACTGTAAGGTATGTATTTTAGTCTCTCAGTGGTTTTACTTTTAAAATCTGCAATCCCCTTTCATGATGGTTAAACTATAAATTAATTTTTTTTAAATCTTGTTTTTTTAAAACTCAACATGATGCAGTACATTCCAGGAGCCTTGTCCTACTTTTCTAATCTAGGTGGTTATCTCAAATCTTGTGATGTAAATTGCCACTGATGAATCCCTTAACAGTTACTTCATCCCTTCAATGCGTCATAATTTAAGATAACTGAACCATAATCACAACTTCTATTTTTGAAACCTCCAGCCCTTCATGCATCCTCTTGAATATTCATGTTCCACCTGCAGTTTATCATTGCAGTCAAATCACTTTTATCAATACAAAATTATTTACAAGTTGGTTCTTCATGCTAATATGATGTACCTTGTTTAAAATATTACGGAGGTCACTCAGTAATTTGCTTGCTATTATATCTGTATCTCTTCAGCTGTATCTTGATATTAGGTTATTTTGTCATGTTGGAAGTACAGTGACATGGTGGTTTCAGTAAAATGGAAAAGCACTGAGTATGTTTCTGGGAACTGCAATGGACAATAACTAAAATATAGGTCCAAGTTAAATTGCAGAATCTATTCCTGTAATATGTAATTTAGATGAAATTGCATATTTGATCTGCTCATTTTACACATCACTTAACCTGTTAATGGCAATAACACAGGCCAGAACTTAACCTGGCTTCTTGGATAGATTCAACTAGCTAGGATGAAGCTAGATGGTCGACTATTTGATTAAATAGAAGACAAACCGCTAATGTCTTCATTTGATGCAGATGGTTTTGTATGAAAGTGAATACATTTGAGATCCTTCAACTGAGATTTCATTAATAATTTATTTTAGAACAACAAAGTACCCAATCCTCCTGCTTTCATCTTTATGATCGATGTATCCTACAATGCAATGAAGAGTGGACTAGTTCATCTACTCTGTGAAGAGTTAAAGACTCTATTGGATTATCTTCCAAGGTGAGAATGAAATTCCTATTCATATGTAAATGCCAATAATGCCATTCGTTGTTAATGTGTTTGAACTGGTATAGAAGAATATTAATCTTTTTAACTTGTTTCTTGAACCTAATGTATTCTAATGTTGTTCATGTGTTTGAACTGGTGAAGAGAAACATTAAGCTTTTTAATTTGTTTCTTCTCCTCTGCACCCACCTCCAGGGAAGGAAATGTAGAAGAATCAGCAATAAGGGTTGGTTTTGTGACCTACAACAAAGTGCTCCATTTTTACAATGTGAAGAGCTCATTAGCACAACCACAAATGATGGTGGTGTCTGATGTGGCAGACATGTTCGTACCTTTACTTGATGGATTCCTGGTCAATCTAAATGAGTCGAGAACGGTAATAAACAGGTAAGGGCCCCTTTCAAGGACAATGCTGCAAGACCTGGTATCGTGTCTGCCACTGCTACTATCGCAATCATTTCAGAGCCTGATCTTTCATCCAGCAGTTTACTAATCACATTTTTAGTTATTATTTCCAGTTGAGTGCAAAGTAGGGAGTTTTGGGAGTTAGGCGCAAGTATATAGTTGTACGGGACCCTGGCAAAGTTAGTACCCCGATGTAAATATACTAGATTCGGCAGCTCTAAAAGTGATTGACAATGCAATTTTAGTCCTAAAGCTCGTTATTATGTACTGGCCACTTAATATTACAAACGTTATTGTGGAAGTTCCCCAATAGATCAAGATGTGTATGTATACTGCACAGTGGAGTTCTGATCCATCCAGAGGAGGTTCACCAATTAATTTAAAAAATATAGTTTTGCTATTTAATGCAAGTTTCAGTAATTATGTGAAAATAATCAGTTTGCTCTTCAGTTTGTTGGAACAGATTCCTGAGATGTTTGCTGATACCAGAGAAACTGAGACAGTTTTTGGCCCGGTCATTCAGGCTGGTATGGAAGCTCTTAAGGTACAGTTTACTTGAATATCAAAAGCTGCTTATAATTTGCATTATTCCTCTTTGGCAATCAAGATACAAGATCCAGAACTTTGATATTAGTTATTTTGACCCATTGAAGAGGGTCTTTTTAATCTTAAAAGAACGATACGCATCTTGTCAGTGCAGTTTCACTTCTACTACAACTTGGACCATTCCTCAGCAGAGAGTAGTTTGGCAACATACTCGCAAACTCATTTGTGACAATCTATCAAGTACTCGCTTTCCTTTCGCAATGAGGCTCCTTGCCTTATATTTACTTCTCCCAATGATGCACAAAACCTGTGAGTGTAAACCTGCATTCTACAATGTAGCAGCTTTTCACTAATGCTGACATTTATATATTGATGGGAAGTATTTTTTTGATCTTATGTCCCCAAATAGTTCAGTTATGTTTTGAAGCATCCATGGTTCTACTTACCATTTTACAAGTTTTTTTACATTAATTATAATACTCTGGTTGAATAATTATAGGGTTAATATTAGTGCACACTAAAACAGGAAAACTATTTACAAAGTCAAAGCATATGTTAAAAACGATATGAATGGAAAACTTTCATCAATGTTAGACACTTAAACTATTCTATTCTATGCTGCTTCTTTTGTACTTGCAGGCAGCAGAATGTGCTGGAAAATTGTTCATCTTCCACTCCTCCCTGCCTCTTGCTGAAGCGCCTGGAAAACTGAAGAATCGAGATGACAAGAAGCTTATTAGCACAGACAAGGAAAAGGTACAGTAGTCGGGCACTCCCTCAGTGACTTAGAACCAGAGAAACGTAAGACAATAGGGGGTTATTCAGCCCATTTTTGTGAGGTCATTGTTTGCAATCCTTTAAATTTAAATCAGATGTTAAGTGATACTGCAGTAGAACACTCATTGTGTATGATACCCTTTGGTAACATTCAACACCTGAAAAATAGTACTAAATGTAAAGAAAATTAACTGCAACAAGGCACAATTAGTAGATAAGCAGTGTGACTCAGGCTTTGTTAAATATGTGTTTCTCTCTGAGGTTTATTAATTTCTATCTATTACAGATTCTGTTCCAGCCTCAGACTAACTTTTACAATAACCTGGCCAAGGAATGTGTCACTCAAGGGTGCTGTGTGGATCTCTTTCTGTTCCCTAATCAGTATATTGATGTGGCTACATTAGGATTGGTTTCCTACCAAACAGGAGGTTCAGTTTACAAGTATACCTATTTCCAGGTAATTTTTGGATATGTGATAAAAATGTATTGTCATAAGAATTTCAAAATTGTTCTTTAAGGAGTTTAAAGTTGTTTTTCCAACTGGTGCTCAAATAGCTGCTGTTATAGATCCTATTCAATCTGGGAACTATAGTCTTGATGTAATGCTTAATCTTCTCCTATCTATCTGATCTCTTGTTGATACTTCATGGGCTGAAGAGGCGAGTCAGTTGGTTCAGTTGAATAACTTCACCAATTGTGAAATTCCTTTTGATTTCTTAAATTGAGTTGCTCCAATAAATTGTGATAGAACCAAAGATGTTAAAATTAAAAATTTGCTGAATTATATTTCAAATGTCAATTTTTTTCAGCAGTTGCAGTCTAAATTACAAGTCTTTCAGTAATTTTGATCAGTAAAGTGATTACATTTTAATTCATAAAGTGGTATTTATATCTATTTGCCCATCAGGAGAGAATATGCATCTGTGGTCACTTACTAACTCCCCTAGTTTGGCAGTTTGTTTTATTTGCTAATTGTTTGTATGTTATTAAACATTGTACTCAGACTCGATACAGACTCAGACACCTAATCTTTGCATGAAGTTTCATGTTAAGATTTTGGGTAAGAATATTTCAGAAGCCATTTCTTCACCAAAACGGAAACAAAACTACAGTTAACTCTTAAAAAAAAAAGTCCCTCACATGAAAGGATTTGATCCATAAAAGAACAAATCAAGTCTAAATAGTTTGCTGTACTTCCTCTAACAAGTGTTTTAAGCGTAAAATATTACAAGAACATTGTTCTTCCACAGGCACAAACAGATGGTGAACGATTCCTAAATGATTTACACAGGGATGTTCAAAAAGTGATAGGATTTGATTCCGTGATGAGAGTACGCACAAGCACAGGTATCGTGTGTTTTTAATCCTTAAATTCATGATTCTCACTTTTAAATATTCCCTCTATGGCCTCTACAATCTCCTTCAACTCTACTGACTTGGCTGTTCCCTTCTCTAAGTCATCATTGGCCTGCTTCATGTGCCCTGTCTCATCCATCCCAAAGTTGGCAGCAATTCTGCTCCTGTTCTCTGGAACTCCATTCCAGAGTCCCTCTGACTCATTCCCTCATTCACTTCCGCATTTTTCTCCACCCCCAGCTCAGGTGCCCAACTGGTAGAGTCAAATGCTTTGAGACATCCTCTCAACGTGAAAGGCGCTATATAAATGTAAATTATTCTACCTGTATATTATCCCACATGTGAGATATAAGCACATTAAAATGGCATTTTTTTATTTATAGTGGCTGCTTAAGTGGAGATTTCATTGCTTAAAGGTGACCTAGATTATGTGCAATAAACTGTTAATAGGAAACATGTATTCAATAGGTTCATAATAAAAGTATTTATCTCACTAGATTATGTTTAACTGTTGGAGTGTCCAATGAGTTTTTTATTAAAATTTCTAATTTATTTTAAAACTGATCAGAGAGGGTGCATTACTGTTCCTTGAATAAATGTTCAAAGGCACCATTGAATTTACCAAAGGGGTATCTAGAAATATATGCTTAAAAATCAGGATTCTCCTTTTGTTTGTGGCAATCTTTTTCCAAGACCTTTTGCTTTTGTTCCAGGAATTAGAGCAACTGAGTTCTATGGCTCCTTCTACATGAGTAACACAACTGACGTAGAATTAGCTGCATTAGACTGTGATAAAACCATCACTGTAGAGTTCAAACACGATGACAAGTTGAGTGAAGAATCTGGAGCTCTACTTCAGGTGAGACTATTCCAATTGTGATCATGAACTATATATATATTATATAAGCTATATAAATGCAAGTTGTTGTTAATACTATAAAGTGCTTCATTAAAATTTTGGTGCTCCATGAACCTGGCTTTCTGCACACCTGGCATTGACATAACTGGTCCTGATCGGTGATGTCGCAGTGGAAGCACTGACCAACGATTGCGCCCCATTGCAAAACTGGTTTGGATTCTATGGACTCCTACATTATAATGGGGCTGTACTTTATGTAAAGGTTTGTTGAGGTATTACCAATTAGTTTCCTATTTTTGCTCATGCCTTATGCATTCTACTCTCACCAGATGGCAAACAACCTCCAAGTTTACTTCCAGTCGTTTGAAGCATCTCAAAGTATTTACATGTGAAACTATTTTTCCCATCGAAATAGTAGAAATTCCTAGCTTTACTGTCAGTCTTTCCACTGACTGTCTCTATTCAAACAGCAATGTGTCCTCCACTTTGACTGCCTTAAGATGACATTACACTAGTGCTGTTTACAAATATATGCTGCAATTAGTCTTTCATGTAATGTATTCTCTGCTTATAGATGTTTGCTACCGAAAAATAATGGTACCAAAACAGTCTTTGACTTCCAAGTGTGGGTATTGACCGTCAAGTGGCATCGCACGACAGTGCCTTTAGTGATTAGATGTTTTTCAGCAAAAATCTTCAGACATCCCTAATAGTTAAGAGGTCATACACATTCCGATAATCAAGCACATAACTGCAGTCAACCACATCTGCATCCGTTTAATTTTATGCGTCTGGTAGAATTTGTGCAAATTGCAACTAAATTCTAACCCACCGTTGCTTCTCATACAGAAATTACTTCTGCAGAGTTTGATGATGTAGCCTATTGAATTCAGCTTTGAACTGCCTCTGTGCTTGTAAACTTGATGAATGTGGATGTTATAGTAAGCTTTCCTCTTTCTTTTCCAGTGTGCTTTGCTGTACACTAGTTGCAGTGGACAAAGAAGATTACGTATACACAACGTAACCCTCAATTGCTGTACTCAGCTTGCTGACCTGTACAGAAACTGTGAGACTGACACACTTATCAACTACTTTGCTAAATATGGTAAGAAACTCCCAGAGGCTGTACCTTGCAATAATTATAGAAAGTAACATTAAAGTATAAGAACGCATTAAGCCTGCTCAATTAGTTTTCCAATATTGTTTAGACATTGCAAAGATTATTGTGACTCGTCACCAATATGCTAATGGACAATAGGATTATTGGCACACACTGTCACAAAATAACTAGAAGGCGCCAAAGAAACTTTTAAGAAAAGTTAAAACAATGATTTAACCTCTGGATCCCGTATGTACCTCTTGTGTTTCATAACGATTCCTTTCACGTCGCGAGGTGGACTGCGAGTTCAAAGTCCCAACCTGGGGCTTGAACCCTCAACGTTCTGACTTGGAGTGTTACCAATTGAACCAGATTGATGCATATAAACAGTTACACCTAGCACTTTTGTAACTTTGTTTCTTAATTTAATGCAAGTTTTCTCTTGTGTGCAGCATACCGTGGTGTGCTCAACAATTCGACAAAGTCTGTACGAGACACCTTAATTAACCAGAGTGCTCAAATCCTGTCATGCTACCGCAAGAATTGTGCAAGTCCATCATCAGCTGGGCAGGTAAAACAGTTGTTTTCTTTACAGATATACTTTTGTTATTCACACATTCATTCTGCTTTGTGAAATACAGCTTTAGTTGGAGAAATTGAGACGCAACCTGTGTGACAGTAAATTACTTTGACTGCTGTGTAAGGATGAACAAACAGAACAAAATCTGCTTGACTCCAGATGATTGTACATTAGCAGCATTCACTGGGTTAGGAAATTGATGTCTGCTTGGGATGCAGGAATAGAATGTTCTCTGAGTTCTCAGTTTGAGTTGAAGTATTTGCTTTTCTTTGATGTTCGGGTAGAGTTTTAATCTTGTATTTCTACTCATGGTTAAGCAGTGGAACACCCAAGCAAATTTTTCCATCTGAACTTTTTAAGAAGGAAGTAAAAAATGTTTCTGTACTCACCAGGACTGTTTTGTGAATTGACATAGTGATTAAATGGTGGTGATATTGGGGATGATGATCAGGAATTCAGCATTCACAAGGCTTTCTAGTTGCACAACTGAGTGAAGTATCTATAAAAATTGTTGATTTGAATTAAAATGGCTGACTGCTGCATAAAGCAGATACAGTATGTTTTTAAAATTATAACAAACAAATCAACAATTTAAACAAATCAGAATTTAAATTGGACATTTTTGTTTTGAATCACTCAAATTGTTAGTTTTGTGATATCCATGGAAGTTTTTGGTTTGTGTTGTCTGTAAAGCAACAGTACAACTTTGAATATTATTTGTAATTGAGACAAAATGTAATATGAAGAGTAACCAGACTTCAAACTTAACAGCTCTATTCTTGGAAAATAGGCTGCATTCTAGAGTGGCTTAGATCAAGTTTCATCTGATTGAAATGGACACACTGACACCTAGGAGAAGCAGTCTGAATCTGTTTATTTGCAATCAAACAGATATTTAACAAATATTTTGTCACTATAATGTTCTGTAAGTCACTTTTGAATTTAAAATGCAATGTTCATCAGCATTTGAAGGATGAAAGTTAACCCCGTTTCATTTATATTACGGTGAGAAAAAAACTTAACTTGTTTCTGTGGTCTACCAGGTGTTTAGGAATAATTACTTACCCATATTCCTGTTTTTTTAACTAAATTGTTAGCTTGATAATAAGATATCAGTAAAGTTCCCTAGAAATTAACCCCTTTTTAAAACCAATATTTCTCTAAATTTGTATTTAGCTGATCTTGCCAGAATGTATGAAGCTACTGCCTGTGTACCTGAACTGTGTCCTGAAGAGTGACGTGTTGCAGCCTGGAGCTGACGTATCTACTGATGATCGGGCCTATATTCGTCAGCTTGTTACATCCATGGATGTAGCAGAAACAAATGTATTCTTCTACCCACGGTTGTTGCCAGTGGTAAGTAATTTATATACAACCACTTTTATTTATAATTTTCAAATACAGGAGCAAATAAATTTGATGGTCACAACTAACAATCAATTGAGGTCTGTTTTAGACCTGAACTATGACAATCAGCTCGAACCGTTACTGAAATTGGTTTAGAATTATCATAATAGTGTGCAGATCAGTTGTGGAACAGACTAAAGAACACAGTTCTTATCTATTAGCATAAGTGAATCTTGAGTATTGTAATTACTGAAAGGTCTGCCAGGAGAGTTGTATGTCAGTGTCCAATCTTCCCAGAAATAATGTGAATCTGCATTAAACTTGAAATCTACAGAGTGCCCCTCACATAGAATAGGATCTTGGATGTATAGCCTTGTATAGTGCTTGGAAGAAAAGGAAGGTTCAAATGGAATCTGTTTTTAATGTTTTTTTTAAAAATCATTTTAATCCAAAATACAATAGGTATTGGTCAAGATAGATTGTTCAATGCCCTGATTATTTTCTTTTTTTCCTTGCACTAGCACAAGATGGATGTTGAGAGTGATGACTATCCAGTTGCCATTCGTTGCTCAGAAGAGCGTTTATCAAAGGGTGGCATCTACCTGCTGGAGAATGGATTGAGTCTCTTCCTGTGGGTGGGAATGAACACTCAGCATGATCTGATCCATAGCATCTTTAATGTGCAGTCGTTTGGTCAGATTGACTCTGGACTGGTGAGTTTCATTTTATCAGTGATCAGAGCTTCAATTAATTCTTAAGTTTTTTTTGTTGAAAAATACCTGTAAGCCTTTTAGTTTTTTTTGAAGTACACCACATCTGTATATATCTGCTCTTAAAATACGCCTCAACTAAAACAAATTAAGACTAATGCTACTATTTCAATGAACCTCCAATTATTATAGTTTTGGTGTGTTTTACTAATTGCTAACTGCAATGATTTGAGTATCTGGTGATGAATTTATTTTATTTTACAGAATGCCCTGCCAATGCTGGATAATCCTTATTCTAAAAAGCTAAGGTCCATGGTTGATATGATTCGTGGTCAAAGGCCCAGGTTTATGAAGGTAGAGTTCTCATTCAACCAATTAAAACATTTTATAGCGGTTAATGTCCTGTTAACCCTTCAGCTACTACAATAACAGGAAAATCCAAAATGTAAAGATTTCAACTAACAGATTTGTGAATTGCAAGGTTCTTCAGTATTGTTTAATAGATTACTGGTAATTCTTTTGAACTTTTGGATGATTCAGCCTTCTTTTCTCCCAGCTCCTGATAGTGAAGCAAGAAGACAAAATGGAGTTACTCTTCAAACACTTTCTCATGGAGGATAAGAACCTAAACGGTGGAGCGTCGTATGTGGACTTTCTGTGCCACATGCACAAGGAGATCCGGCAGCTACTCAGCTAAATTACATCAGCAGCGCTGTTTACTCTAACCCGCTGTTGGAACCCAACATTCTCGAAGTGTAACCCAGGGGTCCTGTCTATCAACAGCTGCCACAGATGTGACATGAGCACATGGCTAACTTGTTAATACTGATGTAATGTAAGGAATTAATAGAACAGTATAATGTATATGATTTAGAATCTTATATGAGAGCTATCTTTTCAACACTGGTATTGCTGTGTTCTTTGTGTATGAGGAAGAGAGGAGAGGAATGCACTGAGTGTGTTTTGAATGTATGAAAGGGAAAGCCCTAATACACAAGCTTTCAAGTAAAAAAAATTGAACAAAATCCAGTTTGTGGCTTTGCTAACATGGTTCGACTTTCTGGAAATTATTTTTATATACATCTAAAGTAATCATTTCATGTTGTACAACAGCCTTTTTTGTTCTGTCTGTTAATTAGGTCTTTAAATGTGATTAGATTTGTGAATGAAATAACCCTAAATCTATTCACCTTACTTGTGTGAATGTTTGATTTCTGTTGATTAAATTCCTTGGTCTACTTTACTCCCTTGCAGATTCTTGGTGGACAGTATGACTTTTAGGAAAGGGCACTGGGAATGTTTTTTAATTACTTACAAATGTGTCAGTATTTTTGTGTTTCAGATTTTAATATACTACTGGGGAAGGGAGCATGTAGCAAAGGAAATGTCAAACTGCACTGTTCATAGTCACTGATGACCATTTCACCCAACTCTTGTACCTTAGTTTACAGAGCCTTAGCATTAGCCAGCTAAACACATTCAATCTAAGAAGGCATGTTGTAATTTAATCCTTCCTTGTATTAGCCTCATGTCTTGATTGTGTACTTATAATTGCAAGAATTTGTGATGGAATTTAATGGCAATTCGTAAGGAAGGAATACATTACTAATACTGTAACCATTACAAATGATGTGGGCAGTGGTGATCCACATTTCATTTCTGGTGATTTTTTTCTTCCTCTTTTTCTCCTCCTCCCACCACTCCCCCCCCACCTTCCTGGATAAAACTTTGTATCTTCCAGTTCCTATTTATTGGATTTCCATGCTGATTTTTGCAGCCTGCTGTAAAAGAAAATGTGCTGTTGTAAACGGGACATTAATTTTTAATGCAATAAATACATTTCTTTTCAAATGTCTCATTAGGTGTGACCTGGGCATGATGTTTCAATAATGGCTCAGGTGAATACTGCCATGTATCTTGAGATCCATCAGCAATCTGATAGTTATGCTTTCGAATTCTCTACAACTCAGACTTCTAATCTCAGGAAGAGCAATCATCTAGGTTTTGGGAGGAGAAATGAGACACTTGCAAAAACGTTCAAATGCACGATCTTTTGAAGCTCTTTGAAACTCCCCACTGATCTGAAAGGTGCTACATCAAATCCAAACATTAGTATTATTGTGAGAGATACCAAGTTCACCAATCTTGTGGCTCTATCAACCTGTTAACACATCATTGGAAATCATGGTTTGCCACAACCTGGTAGAACACAATTCAAACAAAGTGTGGAATCATATCCTTAAGGCTTGCCTTGGCTGTGATATGACACAAACTCAAGCAACTCTGCAATAATCCAATGCATTGTTGATGGTTGACGAGCCTGACTGAGACTTGAAGTGTATCGATGCTCCTAACCCTGCAAACCAAAGATCTAGACAGTAGGAAGCTTCCTAGCTTTGAAGTTTTGTCCTGGTCATTGTAAATCTGAACAGTTGGTGATCTACCTTGTAGTAAATCAAGGCACGTGCCTGCAATTGTTCATACAGAATTACTGATCTTGGCTGTTTTATTAGGAAGTCGGACACAAATCTGCATGTATGATCTTCCTTGCAGCAATCCACATAATAGGTCACAGTAGTAGAGATGTTTGAGGGGATGAGAAGCTAACAACAGCTGCAGTAGGTTAATGGGTAATTCAGAAAAAATCGGATTGGTTTGCTGAAGTATTTGATGGAAGAAAACTTGAAGAAAAATATGCACTTTAATGCTGCAAAGTTGGAAGTGAATATGTTGGCAATAAAAAAACAAAGATTGTAAACTTAGAAAAGTGCAATTACTTCTCCTAAATTTTAGCTTATTATTTTTGAGTTGTGTGGTAGTTGTCAACTTTGTTTGCACTGTTTTACCCTTCTCATACACTTTTGCCAGGCTTTCTTAACACAACGGACACATTTTAAAATGATTAGGGTATAATTAAGCCAGTTAAATCTTTGCAGGAAAGACTCAAATGATGAACAAAAGTAATAACTACTCAGACATTTACTTGTTGAAACTTAGTTCATCAGAATCGAGTCAATTCTCTGTGGCGGTCTCGGATGTCTAGTTCCTGAGCCAGGTGGGCCGCAGTACTCTTGTGCCTAATGCCCTCTGGAATTAGGTAAACAGGATCAGTCTGGCCTGGAAGAGAGTGTGCATTCCATTCCAGACAATTTCTACGTGTAGATGGCATATGTGGAACGCAGTCTGGTTTGGATACTCTATAGCATGGTGATGGGTTTCTGCATGTGTCAGACACCCGGCTGACCAAAAAAAAAATGTAACTGCTGTTGCAGACCATTTTGGAAACAGAAAACATGTCGGGTTGTAAGCAGTAAATCACAGCCCTGCAGCTGACTTTGGGAAACTATGGGTTTTATTAATGTAAACAAAATGTGTTATTTAATATATTAAACTGACATGTTTTGAAAAGAGATAAACAAAAAGGTTAAAATCAGTGGAGTCATAAATAAATAAGGTTTGAGGAACTATTTTCAAATGTATAAATCAAAACTTATTGAGTGCTGAGTTTTTTTTGGAAAAGTCAGTTGAAGATAATTAAAATGGCTATTTAAAGTAATAAGAACAAAATAAGACCGGTAGACTCATCAATACGAAATCAGTTCTGGTGAAGACCCTTTGGTCCATTTATTGTTATCCTTACAGAATACTTACCTTACTGTCTTCCCACCACAGCATCAAGCTATTTTTTTGAATGAGTCCAGTGTCCTGGTGTAAATCATCCTTCATAGTATTCTGTTCCAGTTGTTTATCCCCTTGGTAAATAAATATTTCCTGGTGTTTGTCCTGAAATTGCCTTTTGCAATGCTCAAACTGTCCTCTTTTTCTGTTATCTGTGTGCAGCTGAAAGGATTGTTCTGGGCTTGCTCTCTCAATCCCACTTAAAATCTTACACACCTTTATAAGATTCCCTCTGAGATGTCTTTTTAAGATTAAAGAGTCAATCAACTTGTCTGTTTGTTGCTCATAGTTTGTTTCCAACACTGGGGTTCATTCTGAAACAAAAACAGAGAGAGCTGGGAAAACGTTTTGTTTTCCTGACAAAGGGTGGTGGACCTGAAAAGTTGACTCACTTTCCTTCCTCCATAGATGCTGCCTGAACTGCTGAGTTTTCCCATCTCTCTCTGTTTTTGTTTCAGATTTCCAGCATCTGCAGTATTTTGTGTTTTGACTGGGGTTCATTCTTGTAGCATTAATCTGCGCAGTCTCCAGGTCTCCATACAACAACAAAATTACATTTGTATAGCACCTTTCACGTTGGGAGGACAGCAGTAAAAGTGATACTTTTTTTTGTGTAATCTGCTGAAGGCAGTTGCTAAAGGCCATTTAATCATTATGTTTGAAAGAAATCTTAGGAAAGATTTCAAGATTTTATTTCATTGTTGATTGCAGTCATTACTAAGATTAATTTCTTCCCTCTGGAAAGAACAAAAGTTATTTCGGATCATGGCAACTTGTTATATAGTTACAGCAAATCAACGTAGATACTTGTGCAGTATTTTCCATTTGTGTGCTACAATTTATATTCAATATTACTCTTGCAAATAGCTAATCTAGTCATTCATATTTCTACTGTATAATATGCACCACAAACTTTGGTGCAACTAGTTTACTTGATATTCTCCCGGTATTAATATTTGCAATGAAACCGATGTTGTTATTTGGCAGTACATTCTATATGATGCAAAGTTTATATATAAAACTACTCCGAGCATTATGAACTAAAATAGAATAGATGCCTTGGGAGTGAGCTCTTCGTGATGTTAATGCAACATTTATGGCATGACTAAATATAGACAAGTGTCTTCTCTGCACGCCAGAGAGACATAGAAATAAGGACATCTGCTGGAGAGAGTTTTGTATTTCAGTGTTGATTCTTAATAGTTCAAGTACATTGCTTTACCCTTGACTTTTACTGTCACTGAATTATTGCTATTGCCTTTTCTGTTAGCCCCAAATTAGTTTTTGTGGTGCATATGTTAATAATAGAAAAAATGACTAAATTAAATGTAGCTATCTATCTTAGCAACCTTAATATAATGATCTGTATTAAGAACTTCAGTTGGGGGCAGAAATATAACCATTAATCAGAAATGCCCATAAGCATTCATTAGAAATTATATTGAATCACTATTGTGCATTTCCATTGTGTGTGTGTGTGTTATTTTTGTGTGTGTTGTGTTGTTTTTGTGTGTGTTGTTTTTGTGTGTGTGTTGTGCTGTTTTTGTGTGTGTGTTGTGCTGTTTTTGTGTGTGTGTGTTGTGCTGTTTTTGTGTGTGTGTGTTGTGCTGTTTTTGTGTGTGTGTGTTGTGCTGTTTTTGTGTGTGTGTTGTGCTGTTGTGTGTGTGTGTTGTGCTGTTTTGTGTGTTTTTGTGTGTGTGTTGTGCTGTTGTGTGTGTGTTGTGTTTTTGTGTGTGTGTGTGTTGTGCTGTTGTGTGTGTGTTGTGTTTGTGTGTGTGTGTGTTGTGTTGTTTTGTGTGTGTGTGTGTTGTGCTGTTGGGTGTGTGGTGTTTTTGTGTGTGTGTGTTTTTGTGTGTGTGTTGTGCTGTTGTGTGTGTGTTGTGCTGTTGTGTGTGTGTTGTGTTTGTGTGTGTGTGTGTTGTGCTGTTGTGTTGTTTGTGTTTGTGTGTGTTGTGTTTGTGTGTGTGTGTGTGTTGTTTGTGTTTGTGTGTGTTGTGTTTTTGTGTGTGTGTGTTGTTGTGTGTGTGTTGTGTTTGTGTGTGTGTTGTGTGTGTGTGTGTTGTGCTGTTGTGTGTTGTTTGTGTTTGTGTGTGTTGTGTTTGTGTGTGTGTGTGTTTGTGTGTGTGTTGTGTTTGTGTGTGTGTGTGTGTTGTGTTTGTGTGTTGTGTTTGTGTGTGTGTGTGTTGTGTGTGTGTTGTGCTGTTGTGTGTGTGTTGTGTTTGTGTGTGTGTGTGTTGTGCTGTTGTGTGTGTGTGTTGTGTTTGTGTGTGTGTGTGCTGTGTGTGTGTGTTGTGCTGTTGTGTGTGTGTGTTGTGTTTGTGTGTGTGTGTGTGTGTTGTGCTGTTGTGTGTGTGTTGTGTGTGTGCGTTCATTTCAGATTTCCACAATTTTCGAGGCTTTCCTTCGTCACCTTCCGCCCCTCTATTCACCCCTATTAAAGGCTCCGGATCACACGCGAGGCTTTTTTCATTAAAGTGGTACCTTAACTCGGGGGACTCGGGGGGGGGGGAGAGAGGAGGGCTGAGCCCGACTGCCTTCCGCTTCCTTCGGCTGCACCCGGGGGGGTGTGTGTGTGTGTTGTGTGTGTGTGTGTGTGTGGAGGGGGTATCGCTACGTGTGAAGAGTCTGAGAGAGCGGGGGATCCGCTTCCCAAATCGAGAAGCGCTTTTTTTTGTTTATTCTTTTGTTTCTTCCCCCGAAAAAAAAAGAGAGAGGGGCGGCGGTGGGCGGGGAGGGAGGGAGGGGGTCGTGTGAGATAAATTGCCTTTCCTGCCTTTGGCTGTGAATGCAGTCAGTGTGAGTGAGTGAGTGAGTGAGTGTGAGTGAGTGAGTGAGTGTGTGTGTGTGAGTGAGTGAGTGAGGGCGGTGGCCCCGGACCCCGGGCTCTGGCTCTGTTGGTGATGATGATGATGATGGTGGTGGTGGTGATGGTGATGGTGCTGCTGCTCGGCCTGACCGGGGGCTGCGGCTCTCAGGCCCCGCGGCCTCCCCGCCCGCCCGGGGCCGCCGGGGCCGAGCCCTCCCTGCCCGCCTCGGCCCTGTCGGGCTTCGAGTTCGCCGCGGTGGTGGCGGGCGGCAGCTACCGGGGCCCCGGGAACAACGACACCAGGAGCAACCGGCAGCTGCCCATCCTCCTGTGGTGGGGCGGACAGCTCTTCCCGCACTTCCCGGGGGACACCGAGCGGATAGACTGCGCCCTCAGCTCGTGCCTGGTCACCAGGAGCAGGAAAGTCCAGACCCACCGCAGGACCAAGTCCCTGATCTTCTACGGCACGGATTTCAGGGCCTACGAGGCGCCGCTGCCCCGACTGCCCCACCAGACCTGGGCTCTGTTCCACGAGGAGTCGCCCATGAACAACTACGTCTTGTCCCACGCGGCCGGGATCGGCCTCTTCAACTACACGGCCACCTTCGGGCGCCGCTCCGACTACCCGCTGTCCCTGCAGTGGCTGCCGAGCCGCCGCTACCTGTTGGCCGCCGCCGCCGCGCCGCTGGGCGAGAAGCAGCGGCTCAGGGGACGCGGCTACGCGCCTGTGCTGTACCTGCAGTCGCACTGCGACGTGGCGTCGGACAGAGACCGGTACGTCCGAGAACTGATGGAACACATTCAGGTGAGTGAAGGGCCGTCACAGCCGACGACTCTGATTGGGGCCACAGCCACCGCCACTCTCTCCTCCTACCACAGCCCTCCCCCCCACACACACACCCACACACACACCCACACACACACACACACACACCCACACACACACACCCACACCCACGCACACACACACACCCCCCCCCACACACACCCCCCACACACACACACACACACCCACACACACACACACACCCACACACACACACACACCCACACACCCACACACGCACACACACACACACACACACACCCACCCACACGCACACCCACACACACACCCACACACGCACACACCCCCCCCACACACACGCACGCACGCACGCACCCACACACACACGCACCCACACACACACGCACCCGCACACGCACACACACGCACACACCCGCACACACACCCACACGCACACACACTCACACGCACCCACACGCACGCACACGCACACGCACACACACACACCCACACACACACACACACCCACCCGCACACACCCACACACACACACACCCACCCACCCGCACACACACACACACACACCCGCACCCGCACACACCCACCCGCACACACACCCACCCGCACACACACACACCCACACACACACACACACACACGCACATGCACACACACACCCATCTGGGTTCCTGTAGCTCAGTGGTTGGAGCACTCCCACCCACCCCTCCCGGGTTGGATTCCGGGCCGGGTCGAATGACGGGCAAGTTTCCTTACTCCGCACGCCTCCGCTTACCTGGCGGTAAAGGAGGAACCGGGTTGTTAGTCGATCGGCAGAGTCGCTTTTCCGGGGCGTAATAATCCCTTTTTTAAAAAAAAAATCGGTCACTCAAACCACCGCTGTTGATGGGACGCTGCTGTGTGCAATTGGCAGCCGTGTTTCACCCACAAAATATACAGTCAATTCACTATACTGTATATTCTGTAAAGCGCTTTGAGCCGTCGCAAAGATGTGATAAGGCACTGTATCGTGTGTTCATAAACCCAAATTCCAGGCAATGTCTTCCAGCAGCTGTCATCCAAAGCCTCAAAGTATTCTCACAGCTATCTGAAGGATTATTCTGCCTTCTGCATGGTGGAATAAATAGATGACAAATAATAATGATGGAAGGACGTACCACTTGGTGGACCAAGATCAAAACTGTGTACAGGGCTCATTCAAAGCAATTGTTTAATCAGACTGAGGTCTGGAATAGGTCATGGGACAAGGTTTCTTCCCATTCAGCTCTTGTTAAACCTGAAAGTCAAAGCTCCAACAAGTAGAGTGGTACTAACTGGGGAAGCCGCCAGACAGTGCTCACAGTGACAAGCTAAGCCCTAGCACCTCACTACCTCTCCGACCTGCTTACCCCACAACCCACTGCCTCCGGTTGACTGGCTCCGGCCTTCTCCATGCCCTCCTTTCAGCCACTATGCCCTGAAACTCTGGAACACCCTTCCTCTATCCCTCCGCCTTGCCCCTTCCTTCCTCATTTTCAGGTTGCACTTGAAGACCTTTCTATTCGATAGTGCCTACGGTCACCTCCCACTCCCCCAGGCTCGGAGTCATGCTCCGCCACTATCAAGCACTCTGGGATGCTACCGTACATGAGGAATTCTATATGAATGCAAGTTGTTGTTGCTATATATTTGTAACTGTTTAAACTTGAGCAAAACCCCAACACACACTCATGAAAACCTGTGCCTAATACTTTCCAGAATTAGGTAAGCAGGGTGCATGTAGAGAGTCCATACTGAATTTCAAACAAATGGCAGATGTCCCTGTGTAGGTGGCAGGCATATGTGGAACTCTGTCTATGTTGGACGCTCTTAAGCATTGCCCTCTATCAGTCTCTCAACTGAACAAATAAACAGTCAGTGAAATGACAGTGCTTATTAAGCAACTTGTATTCTGGCTATGGGACGTTTTTAAGCCCAGAAGGTACTAAAATTCATCAGTAGCTCTTGATCATTTCATGCCACAATGGAGGAATCATGATAGCAAAGCTTTACATCAGGCTGGGTAACCAAGCGATCTGTAGCACCGCTGACTGAATAGTGCGTTGCATGGTGAACAAGAACAGATGTGTGTCACAAGGTTTTTACGAAGGTGTTACAGCAGACATGAATGTCGAGACCATCAATTAAAGAAAGGCTGCATAAGGAATATCTTTGGCCATGTAACTCGAGAAGTTGCATCTCCGCGCAAGGTATCTCAAAGTAACATGCAGAAGAGTACATACACTAAATCTCATAGCATTTTTGTGTGAATTGGTGCAATCTTGCTCTTCTGCAATTGGTAACATATGCAAGAGAAAAGTGGTGTAGAACATGTCGTCTGTTTAATTTTTTTATCAGGGAAAGGAAGAAGGGGAAAATTGTTGTCAGTGAGTACATTTTTACAAGTGTACAGTCTAAATATGCCTTTTTACAGTAGGGGGCACCATAGTTCTATGAGCAAAGTAAGAATTGAATAATACTTCTCAGCATTGAATTCAGAGGTCTCATATCATTTACTCAAGTTAAATGGTGCAACTGGGAAGGAAGCTATTGGGAAATACAATCTATTTCTACACTAACTTGTGTAGAAATCATTTGCAACAATGTTAAAAGTTTGAATTGCAACTTCCTTTTATTTAAATAACAGGTTCTTGCCAGGATATCTTATCTATATATAAATGTAGCTCAATTGCTGATACAATGTCTGCCTTATTTATAAAATGTATTTGTTTCAGTGATTACACTTAATAAATTAAAAGCAAGTAGACTAATCTTTGGATAAATTATTTTATTCAGCACTCATGCAGTACAGTTTTGCTACAATATGTGGTGGATGTTGACAAAACAAAAAGTTAGAGTGAATTATGTTACAGGTTTAAGACTTGCTTCTAAATCACTCTATTAGATAGGCTCTGTGGTCAAGTACCTGCACTCAAACTTTACTGCAAGAACTATGCATCTGGTATTGAGATTGATTTAAACAATCTATTTGTAATATCGCACAATTTACATGTGAGGTAAGGTACCATTTAATTCACTTATAATGGTTGATATTATTGTTCTTTTCTTGTTCAAATTTAGATTGATTCTTATGGTCAGTGCCTACATAACAAAGACCTACCCAGCCACAGACTGGTGAACACACTAACCGCCACGACAGAAGATTCGGAGTTTATGCGTTTCATCGCCAATTACAAGTTCCACATTGCCATGGAGAATGCAATCTGTGACGATTATATGACCGAAAAGCTTTGGCGTCCAATGCACCTAGGAAGTGTGCCAATATACCGTGGCTCTCCTGTGGTGCAGGACTGGATGCCCAATGACCACTCAATAATTCTGATTGACAGCTTTCCATCTCCAAAAGACTTAGCAGATTTTATTAATTACCTTGATCAAAATGACGAGGAATATTTGAAATATTTGGAGTATAAACAGCCAGGTGGCCTCACAAATACCTTTCTCCTGGAAAGCTTAGAGAAGAGAGAGTGGGGCGTGAATGACATGAGCAAGCCCAACTATCTGAATGGGTTTGAATGCTTTGTTTGTGATCGGGAGAATGAGCGCCTGCAGGCAGAGAGGGCTCACAGAAAGCTACCAGATAGCGTTCCACTACCAGTCCCCAGAAGGGCTGCTTATGATCACATGGGCTGCCCAGTGCCCACACCTGGATATGGAAGTGATGATGAGATTCCTGCAAATGACAGGTATGTGGCAAATACTCAAGCGTACAGAACACAGGAAAATTACAGAGTATTGAACTCTGTTAATGTTGAGATAGTTCTTCACCACTGTAAACAGGGCTTTTTTTAACAAAATAAACATTTGGGCAATTACAAAAGCATGGTATAATATAATGTATTGCTGTATTAACTATAAGCGAATATTGCATGTTAAAGTTTTGACCTTTATCTCTTCATGAAGGAAGTGATATTGTTGCTGCTTCTTGCATGTATCTACAGCAAGCCATAAGTGATGTTACCGGTGCTTTCTGCATATAGCACCCATGGTGTAACATATAGCAATTGATATCAGTGGCGAGCAGGCCACCTGGAAGTTGTCCATTTTATTCTGTGTCTTTCTAACACAGGAGACATTGGACTCAAATGACAATGTTATTGAAAGGTTGTAGGTTACCTTATAATTTGTGGGAATTAGATCATTGATATAGTAAAGTAGGTAGGATGCCAACCTGTTAATGTATGTAAACAAGCTCAGAATTGTTCTGTGAAGTTTGGTGGAGCCTTGCTCACATACAAACATTGATATGAGATTAAGCAAAGACAAAAAGATTGTATAAGTAAAGATGAAGCATGGGAGTGGAATTTGTCCATACACCATGTACTGAGGGGTTGTTATTGGCTTCTGAATGGCGGCCTTTCGCACAGCCAAACTGAACTGTATGAAGTGCCCAGGACTAGAACTGATTGATTTCAAGTCTTCCCTCCTTTCAGTGATCGTTTCTGCTTGGCATTTTCACCTTGGAGGTAGTGTGAATATCTGCATCCTGCCATCACTTGGTGCATTATACTGCACTCTGACCAAAGGCATTTTTAATTCATTGCAAAATCTTTTAGGAAATACCCCAAAATATTATTTATCAGATCTTTAGAAACATTTTCTGTCCCTATATTTGTCTTAGGACTTTCACATCGCACTATCCCAAAGTACTTCACAGGATATAACTGTGAAGTGGAGTGACTGTGCGTTTGTGTTTAGGAATTCTAAGACAATTTTAGGATTTCAAATGAAATGATTCTTATGAAAGTCATGTTTGATCCTGAACTTTAAAATGCTGAAAAGTGAAGGTAGAGAATCTCCTAGTCAGCTGTGAAGGCATTAATCCTTCAACACTGAAGATTCAAACCAAGCAAGTCAATGCTGGTGTAACAAACAGGAGCATAGTTAATTCATGCTGGCACTAAATAACTGCAACTAGTAGTAAAATTCTGAAGTGGGTGAGAATAATGGTTGGGATAAAGTATTTCAAGGTGTTTGTTGCTCAAATTTGCAGAACTAACTAAAATCTAAGCATGATTTTAAACAATGTGCTGATGTTCACTGAGGCAAATGTGTTTCAGGACCTATATATATATTATGTGTGTGAGTGAGTGTAATTGAAAGAATCAGATCCGAGGAGACTTGGATCAATAGAACCGTGCATTTTGGATGTTGAGCTATTCACATGAATGTCAAGAGAATGTGTTCTTTTTCTTCAGCCTCAGACCTTTGAGCTCTTTCAATACTCAACAAACCAATGATAAAAGCTGTCATGTCTATTTATAGAAATACAGCTACAAATTATAGAAAGTTTAATGCTGCCATGTACAGACTCTCTTGTGAACTAAGATACAGTACTTAGTGCAGGCCAGGTTTCATCTCTTTAAAGTGTCCATTAAAGTAATTGTCCTTAATGTACAGTAGAAACGTCAATCAATTGTAATGCTTCCCTCTTTCTGATACTGCCCTCTTCCTCTGCCAATTTCAGTCCCCAGCACAATCACCCTGCTCTCGTGATTCACGAAATGTTAATTATTTGCCTGGGAGTTTATTTTTGATTCATCAATAATATGAACCAAACTAGAACAGAAGTATGCATCAAAGACTTGTTAAGAGAGGCTTCAGAGCTGCCAGATGCCCTTTATGTGCAAATCCCTTGATTGGTGGTGTCTTTTTACCAATAGCTGCTGTTTTCTTTATTCACAGTTCACAGTTGCAGCAGTCTTTAGAACTAGCTGCTGAATTGTGCTATTTTCCTTCGAGTTCAATAGCTTCTCTTTGATGTGGGCTGTCAGGGAAGGTGAGGAGTGAAGGTGAGGCATTCCTCCCATTGCCAATAGAGAAAAAAGGAAAATGATGGAGTGTTCCAGGGGACATTTGTGTACATCTCTTAGCAGTCTGTGACAGAAGGGAATTGGTTGAAACAGGTCACCTTCCAATTGATCTGTCAGGGAATGGTGCAGGAGAAGTAATATGATGGATGGAGCAATTTTGTTCCTTAATTTACTTCCTTGTCATTGATAATGCTTCACTAGTGGTGCCCTCTCTGTGTGTGTGTTTGGAATGGACCCAATTACAGTACTACTCCTCCTTTTGCAGGCTTTAGCAGGTTAATATACTAATGAACTGAAAAACTTGTAATTAAAATGCAAAGTGCTGCTGGATCATAATTATATACATGGGTTTTAATTTTCCTTTTTTCTTCAGCCTTCTATACCTATCAATAGGGAATAGAGCAGATGTAATTCTATTTGATAAAGGCTGCTGTTTGGCATGTTCATTCTTTTTACAGTTTATTTATAACACATCAGAGGGAAACAATTCTTCCTCGCTCTCATCCTCCGAAAGGAACTTTTCCTCCTTCAGAAAAATATATTATTTCATAGTTTACTGTTCGCACATAACACACTTCACAAAGTAACTCATTATTCCTTGCATTGAGGTTACAGGAATAAAGGAAGATGAATCCTGGTGCCTCATCACTCTAGGTACAACGTTCTTTGGTTCTGTTCTCCACGTGAATACTGTCCAACAAAGTAGCAACGTGTGTAAGATAATGAGCTACCATCGTTTCTAAAAGTCACTTACTGAACAAGTCCAGTCTGTGAATGGTTGGTGGTTAAGGGTTTCTGCATGTCATAGAGTATATTCATAACAGACAAGATGTTGGCTTTCTTTTTTTAATAACCTTATCCAGAAGACATTTTCAACTGATAATAGTTAATGAATTCTTGCATTAGATGACAGCTTCTTATTAGATCGTCAAAACGTCTCATACGCTTCACAGGATTTTACTGTGAAGTGTAGTTACTGTATATTTGTAGGCAAACATAGTTTGTGCACAGCAATGTCCCAAAAACAGACATGAAGTGAATGACCAATTTCATCTTAAACATTATGTCATAACTTTCTTTTTATTGTGTGTAAGAACATTCTCCAGCACGTTGCTGACATTTATTAAACCCCACCACTGCTGCTGAATTAGTGCATTCATAGCATTCTATGCTCTGATTGTTCATTCATTTAACCCACGAAGGATGAGCTAATGTCCAGTTCTGTGTGGAACTGACTGTTGTGATTCATTCAGTATTGTATGAATTGAAAGTATCAGCTAAAACGTAGCTTTATGGTAAGATTTGTTTTGAACATAAATGTAGATTAATTATGTTCAATATTGAACGGAATAAAATAAACTTACATCTTTTATAATATCATGAGGCATGTTCCATACATAGGGTTCAGATGACTATGTTGAGGCCATCTGATTGTTCATTCATTGTGATAAAATTCGGTCAGAGATTTAATCAGAGGTGAGTGTGTCGAACAGCAGGACTGTGATGAATGTAGAGTTAATGTAGGTAAAGTTGGATGATGAATAGAAGAATTGATGGAACAGGAACAAGATGGCAGAAAGTACAAAGCCCCATGGAACATCTGAATAGGTGAAAATTAATTCAGGGGACGAACCAATAACCGCAGCCCAGATGGAGCGATTCAAAAGAAACTAACCATGAATATAATTTGAGTGGAAGACCAAAAGATGGTAACTTGTTTCAAATGCTGCCAACCATTACAGCAATAATGTGCATGTGCAGTACTTTTTATTGGCAATTACCAGCAAATTGTATAAGAATAAAAGTTTCTGTATGTTTATGTATTGCTAATCCATTTAACTTGGTGGCATTATATTAACTCTCCTTGCAGCTGGAAACAAATGTGGCAACAAGATTACTGGCAGAGCATCGACCAGGCAGAAGCCCTGACCACCATGATCCATCACAATGAAACCGATGCAGGGAGACTTTGGGATTACATTCATCAACTGATGTCGAAGAGTCCACACTAACAGCATCGGGACGGAGTGCACTTAGACTTATTGCTTCTGATTCTCTCCCGACACCTGAATGGATTAATTATAAGTCACTGTGTGAATCTAGTGACGACGCATTTTTTACACACTGTCCTTTACTAATTATTTTTAAAAAGTAACTTTTTATTGGAAATATTTTCTATTTTAAAAAAAAGTTTTCACATTTATTCTCGTAATGTTTCACAAAAAAAAACAGTTATTTTTCCATTTATCGGGGGAGTGGGGGGCCTGGGCTTTAGAAAAATTTAGTCTGGAGTTGCTAGATCATAATCAGGAAATCAGTGAGCTTGCACATTATTTGAGTATATTATCATGCATGTTTTGTTTGTTTATATAGCAGAGTTTACTATTGACAAATGATCCTGCCCTGTATTACTGTGAGGGAGAAAAAACACTGATGACTGCTTGACAAGTGTTGTCTTCTTAAATAAAATCTGACAACAAGCAGATTTTAAACATTGGGTCATGTGAAACAGTAACATACTCTTGTCATTCTTGTGAGAAGTGATAATGTGAGAGTTTAAAATTAAAAGCATGTTCACCGAAATGTTCTCAAGGCAAATTGTCTCTACTGGTATTGAGGGGAGAGGCCACCATTGTACACTGTCTTGAAGACTCATTATATACCAGCCTGGAAACGTTGTTGAAATCTTTTTTCACAATTACTCATTCCACTCATCGTAAGTGTGGTGCTCCAGGAGTACTTATGTACGTTTCTTAGTATTTGACCCTACGAATGTTGAAACAGTGCTAATTGGTGCCTTAGGGAAACACAAATCTCCACTTGTCAGAAGCTGAAGTATCTCAAGCTTCATGCAATTCCTATGCTACATTTCCTACATTTTTCATTCTACGATATTATTAACCCATAAATCAAAAAAGGATTTTTAGTGTGAATAATATGGCTGATTTTTGCCTATGACTGTATGAATTGGTAATATGGATATGAAGGTTATTGAGAGAACAGTGTGTAACACTAGCTTGAATCGGCCTCTGGCAGTAAATTAATTTATACATCAAGCCTTCAACATTTTCTCTGATAAATTGTGAATTTCACACAATGAAGTGCTAACCAAATTTATAGCTGACAATGTGACTTTATTTACTTCATGCTTTGATATTGAAGGCCCATTCTCAGCAAGTGCATTAAACGTATTTCTTGTTAACTCCGTGATCGCTCTGAAACACTGTTTGATGGAGGTTAATGTGAAAGATGGCTTCTAACAAGTGTATTTGAGAGCCAGTGAAGCTTTGTTGGTTCCAGGTGGGGCTTTTTGCAGTATAAATTGACTATTGTACTGTACCCAAGGGAATATTTTGTTGAGTGCCTCTTAATGTTTGGCTTGCAAACAGCCTTGGTTTACAAAGCACATAGGCTATTATTGATATTGTGCATTTGGATTGTTGCCACGTTCAGGGCTAAAACACTGGGGAGGGGGGTTGTTGTATAACACGTTATATTTTATGTACATTATAGCATCTGATTATTTCCATATTGTAGATGTAGTGATCCACAATAAAGATCAGTAGAATAGTTTTATAAATGATTATGAAGATCTTTCTCATAGGTGGGATGAACTGTCTTCAATTGCATGTCCCTCATTGTATTTACTCTTTTGTATAGCATTGACATCAGATGAGTTAGAACCTGAAGGGCTTTTTCTTCCTGTACATTTTGGTTAAGTACATGTCCATCAGCAGCGTGATTGATGTGGAATTGTTAAGTGGTTACCATGGGCACTGCCTCGCTTGTCACTGCCATTAAAGCACTGATATGCTGTATCCTAAACACAGTGGCCCAGAACACCAACCAACATACTATTGCAATCATACTTACACTCAATGGTATATGTTGATATTTTTTTTCTTCTTGTGATCTATGCTCCTATACTTGATTAGGCCGGCTGTTAACTGTTGTAGGAGTTGAAAGTATGTCTTTATGGAATACCTCGGTGCTTATTATCTTGGTAAAGAAGCATTGCTTTAGTGGGAGGAGGTGATGGTCTGGAGAGGTAATCTTGGGATTTTAATGGGAATTGAAGCACTGCTGCCATTTATTTCTAACAATGTATCTGTTGAGTTCAGGTGCATGTAATATGTAGGGAGAAGCTTGTCTATGGAAGACAAATTCCAACTAATGTAACAATTGTATCATTAGATTGAATTGAATGGGGGAACAAAATACATGAAATACTGAAATAGTGTCCAAACAGAAAATAAGGATTTCCCAATTTAGCTGAAGGCACTTCTCTGCCTGAACTGTCAAGTTTCATCTTGTTAAGGATGTCATTTTGTTCTTTCTGTCTTGGTTTGCATTTCTATCTCTTCTGCCATGTGCATCATGGAGAGACAGACAAACATCATATTTCATTCTCCCTACCTAAACCTGTTTTGAATTTAACTGTTTTAGCCACAATAAGTTTTGTGACTATTTTCAGCTCCTTGGGACGTCCTCCCGATGTGAAAGGCGCTATACAAATGTAATTTGTTGTTGTTGTTATTTTCTAGTGTCCATTGCACCTTGGATAAGTGAAATGAAACAATAGTTTACTCCTGCCTGAAGCTGTTATTATGTAACTAGTAGTTTCTCTCTGCTGGCTACTAATCCTGACCTCTGCTTCAGGCTTGTGACTTGAGCCAGCTGCAAAGCGGTGCACAAGTGTGGACTAAATCATACGTGAGAGTTTGTGGCATATTGCTTTGAGGCACTGGGTGCTGGGTCACAAGCCTCCAAACAATAGTCCTTGCTATTCCCTGTTGATAGTTGTTCACCGTCAAAATGTCCAATGCTTTGTACCAGTGTTACAAATAAAATGGCACCAAGCTTTTCTGTTCAATTTAAACTAATTGGTTTTATACAACCTACCAATGGAGCTGCTTAGAAAGTTTAATTTAATTAGGATATTTCGCTGAATAAAAGTTGTCAATTAGTTGTTAAAAGAGGTTGAAATGGGTTACCGAAGACTGGTAGCTGGAAGGTGGAATAAAAGGATAAAAAAAACTGTAATCTATTTAACCTACAATTTTATCGACTTCTCATGTTTATATTATTTATATAGAAAGTAATATAGATTAGATGATGAAAGGGCAACTTAATTCTGTTACATTGCACAAATGGAGTGAAGATTATACAATTATGTGAAGCTGTAGCTAAGAATAAGGGACATGACCTACACACAAGCCAAGTCTTATTAGCAGAGCCACATGAATATTGTCTTATCAATAGCAGACGTCTGTTAAGAAGACATAATTGTTAGTTTTAAGCTTCAATTCTGCTTAAGCAAGCGAACAGGCCAGTCGGTATCTAATGGTATCTGACAGCATACAAGTAATTGTTAATTTTTACTCATGTCAAAGAAAGTTTTTTCTTCTCTCCCTCTTTGTATTGTATACCAGTATGAGCACTCCTGGGTCAGCTGCAATGTGGTTCAACAATCAAATATCCATTGCAAATTCAGAAAGACTTCTCCATTGCTCCAGGTGACTCTTCCAGTCTCGATGCTTGCAAGTTAGGCTAGTCCAAAACTTCTTTATTAAATTGTTTGTGCAGCAGAAGAACTCTTGAAAGGATGGCTATAATTTATTTTGTTTCTTTTGATTGTGTCCCCTGCTTACATTACAGTACACCATTAACAAACAAATCTATATTCCAGTTGGAATATTTTACATTCTATTACAAAGAATAATTCTATTATTCTATCATATTTTAAGATTTTATATTCCAACTGGTTCTACTCCTTCTGCTGATTAAACTTCCAATATTTATTTTCTACCAGCTATGTGAAATCAGCAGCCAAATGACAAGCTGACATCATTATGACTGACTGATACCTTCCACACACCTCAGCAGTCACACTGTTTGCCTTTGTTCAGTTACCTGTAAAGTGCTTCTATAATGGTGAGAGGAGTTTGGGCAGGAAAAATCTTTTGAAAGGAAAACTACTTGAGAGTTGATAACACAATTTTTTTTGAGACATGCTCTTTGTATGGGAACTCGTTCCTCTGCCTTCTTATGTTTGGTAAAATTTAAATACTTCATATTGTCAAGCGCTTGCAATATTATATGGGTTAACACATTGTGCTTTACTGCTGAAATGGGGAGGGGTGGATTTGAAATTCAATCTGGGTCTAGATTTATTCTATTCACGTAGTATTTTAGAGCAAACAGAATTTGGCAGATTCTTAAAATACATTCTTAATTTTGAACCCAATTTTCTAAAAGTTCTTTTAAGTTCCAACCTAACCTATTGTGATTAATGGCTCTCCTCTCTTAATCTAGCAGCTGTAAGGATATTATGTTGAATGTATTTGTGCAGTCACTATCCGGGTGGCTCATGCCACAGTACTGATCTGCCCATGATTCATCGCTTGTTGACGTTCTCTCTCCAGCAGGTCATGTGGGCCTGGGACACACCCTAGTACAGCAAGAAATGCTGAACTTGACCTAGGAGTGTTGGGTTTGAACACTCTGTGCCAAATAAATTGGTGTTCCCTTATCCAGGACTGGTGCAACACAAAAAGTGAATAAGCAAAATTAAGAGACCTGGGAAAACTGGCTGCTGACCCACTCTCCAGTTTGCAGACTGCATGGTGCAAGAAGAAGATAGAAAATACAGTATCTCCCTCTTCCCCTGTTTTGCAGTATTTGCTACTGTTGCAATGTCAACCTTCAACAGTTAATTGAAGTGAAGGTCATAACTCAAAAACTGATAAACTCAAGACACTTATTAATTATTTGATTTTCAGAGCAGATATTAATTGGTCCAAGGATTATTGTTGAAACTAGTCACATTATACCTTACCAATATTTTGAATGTAGACCACATCAAATTATCAACGTTGTCCTTTGGACTTAATACAGGTCATGCTTTATTTAATGAAACAAGATGGTTGTGTTGAGGTGACTTGGAGGAGGCACAAAAACTTAAGAAGAGGAACAATCAGAATTCTTCAATTTGTTGAAAAGTAAACATCAAAGCAGATATGTTGCAGTATTTTAAAGATAGTTTCTGATAGATTAGGAGATGATCCCCCATACATGGATTATGGATAACTCAATAAGGATCATTTGGATTTCACTTTATAGATTCTACCAGATTTTGCCAAATTCTATACCTGTAATATGACCTTGCTCATTTCCT